AAAGATTTATTTTTTTGTGATACAAGAGCTGGTGTAGGCCAGAGGTTCAGGGGATGTGAGAAGACTCACAGAAACAGAGTAGGAAACAAAGAGATCTACTGAAATACTGCTGAGGGGAGTAGTGGGCGAGACAAGAGAGGTCTGCTGTACCATGTGAGTAGCTCCTGTTGGGGATTGAACTCATGCTGCAGTGGCTGCTGATAGCTTTGTAGTGCTGAGACTTAACCCCTGAGCCACCAGCGAGGCCCTGTCCCCCTTTCTTGACTCCTATTACAATTTCCCTCTTTTCAGACATGCTTTTATTATTAGCAATAGTTCTGTTTTCCTTACCAGTTGACATAACCAATTTTTCCAAAATATAATTCTGTATTTTACTGTTTATATTGGAAAAAATGTGTTCTAGAATTCCATACAGTTACTAATTTCCTGACCACATACGACCCATTGTGCTTAAAACATTTTAGACGCTGCCATATACCAGACACTGTGTTAATTGCTTTTGACTATTTTATATGACCTCATATAACCTGTTGTACATGATGAAACTAGAGGACAGACTTATCTCTTGCTCATCAATCACCACACAGTTTATCACTTAAAACTTGAGTAGAAGTCCACGGGGATTACAACTGAGATGGAAAAAGGCACAAAATGATGTAAAAATAAACTGTTATATTATAAATAAAAAAAAGAGAGGAAAAAACCCTTGAGTATATTTAATAAAGTTTTGCTTTAAGAATTCTACTTAACACATTAGTTGCTGCTTTGGGTTTAAAATTCTTACTTTTTCTGCTGTATGCAAATCAGAGTATGGTGGTACCTTGTGTAATATATTGATTATCTCTTGTTTGAAAACAGGTCATGTAAAAGTTTCATTTCTTAAAATGACAAACATCTATCATCTCAGTTTCTGTATATCAAGATGGGTGGTTCTGGCTCGGGGTGTCCATTTGGGGCTTCATTCTGAAGGCTTGGCTGTGAGGGAAGTTCTGTTCCAAGAAGATGCTCTTATCACTTTGAATTGAATTCAGGCGGGAGGCCTCAGTTCCTGGCTGACTGTTGATGGGTGGCCTCAATTTGTAGTCACATAGGTGAGTCACTGGACAGCCTGAGGGGTCATCACAATCCAGCTCCTGCTTTCTTCACCTTGAATGTTTCAAGAAGAGAGCACATAGGAAACCACAGTGCCTTTTATAACCTAATCTCTGAGTAACATCCCACTATTTATATAGTATATGTCACCTTTTGTTTATCCATTGATTAGTGGGCACTTGGTTTGCTTGTTTGGATGTTTTGTCCTTACTTAGGCTTTCATATTATCTCTTTCTTTGGCAGGTACCGCTTAAATCTGAATCCAGATGACATTAAACAAGAAGTAGAGGAGTATCTTCCTTCATTCTCTAAATGGGCTGGAGATTTCATGCATAAATATACTTCAGCTGACTCCCCTGAGATGCAGCTCTCTCTGTAAGAAATCCATTTTGTTTATATGGCGTTTGTATGTTTGATTTCTTTTTAAGATTTTATTTATTTTTACATGGAAGAACTGGGGTACAGGCCATAGGTACAGAGGGTGAGAGGATTCACCAGAGACCAAGTGGGGAGCAAAACAGGTGGACCTACTGAAGTACACTGCTGAGGGGAGCAACAGGAAACACAGGAGTGGTCTGCTGTGCCATGTGGGTCAGCTCTCTGGCCAGGCATCAAATTCCTGTGGCAGGGGCTGGCCAATAGCCTCATGGTGCTGAGACTTAACCCCTTTTACCACCAGGGAGGCCCAACTTGTTCAGGACTTTTATCAGGTGAAGCTGAGTCTAAAATAGGGAATCTCTTGATCCCAGCCTAGAGTTATATGTATTTCATTTATTTCGGATGGGATTTTGTATGTGTCTGTTTGTGAATGAGGCACTCAGATGATTTTTATAGTATGAATAAAATATCGTATGAATAAAAATCCAGATGATTTTCATAGAATTATGTTGATTAAAATCATAGCAATTATATTGAAATACTGTTATTTGTTCTACAAATAGACTGGCAACTATTTCTTAACAGATTAAAATGCTTTCTAAATCATTTCCTTTCTCCCGTCCCTCCTTTTCTCCTGTATTCTTGGCTTATTTAATAGTTAAGATATTAAAATCAGAATAATGTAAAGAACAATGTTGGGTACTTATTTTTAAATATCTGTAGTGGTGGAGATGGGTTCATTTAATGGTTAAGTAAAAAAAATAATGAAGACATGTGGGAGCGGCCCATGTCCTCCTCCAGAGACGTCCCCAGGCGCTTGGAGGTGAAGTGTTGCATGATCAGGCCCCACTCTGCGTAAATAGTGGATAAAGAAAAGATCATTCTTACCCAGTTTAACCTGGTGTTACAAGGAGGAGTGCATCACTACCTAGGTTTCAACACATGCTGGCCAGTATTTATTAATCTGTAATAATTGTATATGAGAATACTCAGATTGATATTTGTGAGGTTATAGTCCAATTAATGAAATTATACAGTAATTAGAACCTAGAATACAAAGACCTGAGATAGAGAGATTGTAGTAGGACCAGGAGATAAATATTAAGAAAATGTAAATTGAACCAAAGTCTACATGTAATGGTTCTAAAACTTGAATATACATCAGAATCACTTGCAAAATTTGTTAAACAAATCCCTGGGTCTCACTTGTAGAATTTCTGATGGAGTAGGTCCATCAGATAATTTACATGGTAACAAGTTTCCACTGTTGTTACTGGTCCACGTGTTGCTGGTGTTCCTGGTCCAGGGACCACACTTTGAAAATCACTTCTATAAAGATTTATAGACTCTCCCACCCCTCTTTCTCTGTGTGCCAACAGATGAGAAATGAACTACGTGTTCTAAAGAAGTGTTTTTGTGTTTCTTCTTAGGCCAAGTGATGGTAATGGGAATTCAACATGTAATATTGAAGTGCTAAATTCACTGGATATTGAAGAGAGCATTTGGTCCCCTAGGTTTGGATTGAAGGGCAAAATAGATGTTACAGTTGGTGTGAAAATACATCGTGGAGGCAAAATGAAATATAAGATAATGCCACTGGAACTTAAAACTGGAAAGGAATCAAATTCTATTGAACACCGTGGTCAGGTATAAATCTTAAGAAAATTGAATGTTTAGATTACTTAAGATATAGTTTGATTTACATATATATATCAATTTGGTAATATTTGAGTTAAATATTTCTCAATTTGTAATACAAGTAGAGTTCTCTGTTTTATAATTATATACATGGCTACAGCAGAAAGTTTTCTCCAGAAAAGTAAACAGTTGAATTTGTAAGCCAGAGTTGCCAAGTTTATGCTACCAGTCTGAACAGGTGCTTCTAAAAGAAGAATTCCTTGCTCCATTAAGTTAGGGAAACAGTATATTTGGAGAATCAGTGATATACATCAAACTATTGAAGTTTTTGAGAAATGAAAGCAGTATAATTTGTTTTAGCTATATTTTACCCGGTGTTTCCTAAACTTCATTTACCACAGAGCTACCTTATTCATGTAACATCTACATAGGATACTCTTTAGAAACTATCAGTGTAAAGTCATTATTGCATTTCTGGCTTTTAATCTTGATTATGTTTATTTTTAAGCTAAAATGAAACCTAGAAATGTGTCTTATATTAGAAAGTTCTTGATGATCTTCTCTCTTGCTAACCATAACAATCTTCAGTTGTCCTTCAAAGTTATCTGAAACATCTATTAATATAGAATGACTTAGCAGATAAAAGTAATACCAAATTCCAGGGTTTTTGGTAATTATTTCTATTCTCTTCCCCATTTCCACCTTTGTAATCTGTGGTATGTTCTCTTACACACCACAGCAAAAATAAAACATCAGAAAAGGTAAAACTAAAATGTTATGTTATTGTATTATGATGGTAATAATACGGACTAATGGATATAATATCCATTAAGGGAATGGCTAATATAAAAAATAACATTTGCAGTATAATTTAAATTTCCTTTTGCCCATTTATTATTTAGGTGGATTTTATATAAATAAGGTACAGATTAAAAATACTGAATTATGAGGGAATAAAGAGTCTCCTCTTATTAAGCCTTCTTGCGATTCTTAGTTGTATACTGAACATTGAAAGATCTCACAAAAACTTTTCTGTTTGGGAAGCAGAAATCAGGTCACTTTGGTTTTGTTTCTCTTATTATTAGGTTTTACAGGTATTGGAGGTGGAGGGAAAAACTGTTTACCCCACTAGAAAATTTGAACTTTTCACTTTGGTTTGCACAAAATGTTTGAAATTATTAACTAAAGACTTGGTTAAAGTCTATGTAGAAGGGATATCATTCCAAAATAGAAGACAAACTGTTTCTTAAGTAAAACACTTAAAATGTGTTCTGTGTACATGAAACTTAGATTTATTTTATAAAAATTAAAAAAAATAGTTTTATTGAGGTAAGATTGGTTTACAACACTGCATATGATACAGTGGTATTGGCTCACACCTGTTCCGATGTATGTTACCACACCATACTCACCAGCAAGGTCCCCCAGCCCTGCAACATGGTCCACTGGGCCCCTCCACAACCCACTTTCCGCTTTTCCTTCCTCCTTTCATGGTGTCAGTTTTGTCATACATATAGTATTATTAGTTTTGTTTTATCTGACCCTTTTTTTTTTTCTCATCCTATGTATAAGTGAAATCATCCGGTGTTTGTATTTGCTCTTTTGAATTGTCTTGCGTAGCATTATGTCATCCAGTTGCAAATGATGTGTTTCTTTTTTCTTTTTTTAATATAGCTTAATACTATTCCATTGTATTGTGTGTGTTACTTACATATATGCACACTTTCCTATTCCACTCATCTGTCCTTGGGCACTTCGGTTGTTTCCATAACTTAGCTGTTGTCAATAGTGCTGCACTGTTTGTGTATACTTTGGGTAGATACTAAGGATGGAACTTCCAGCACATACCGCAGAGCTGCTTTTAATATTTTGAGAAGGCTCCCTATTTTTTTCCACAGGGGCTGCACCAGTCTGTCTTCCCACCAACAGGTTATGATGGTTCCTTTTTCTCCACACCCTTACCATCTCTCTATTTTTTTTTTTTAAAGATTTATTTCATTTGTGCATACAGAACTGGGGTACAAGCCAGAGTTGCAGGGGCGGTGAGAGGCTTCACCAGAGACAGAGTGGGGAGCAGAACAGGCAGATCGATAAAGTACACTGCTGAGGGGAGCAGCGGGCGGGTCAGGAGAGGTCTGACGCGCCATGTGGTCACCTCTGGGGCAGGCGGGGATCGAACTCATGCGGAAGTGGCTTTAGCTTCCCAGTGCTGTGCTTTAACCTGCTGCGCCACCAGGGAGGGCCCCATCTCTTATTTTTGATATTTTTGATATGAGCCATTCACACAGGTCTGAAAAGTTATGATGAGCATTTGTTCACATGCTTATTGGCCCTATATATGTCTTTTTTGAAGAAGTGTCCATTCAGTGCTGTCCATTTTTTGATTGGGTTACTTTTATTGAGTTCTGTGAGTTCTTTGTCAATCTTGGGTATCAATCGGATGTATGATGTACAAATATTTTCTCCTATTCAGTAGGGGGTCTTTTTGTTTTAATGACAGTTTTTCACTGTGCTGAAGCTTTTTAGATTGATTTATGCTGTTAATGTTCTATTTTGTTTCTCTTGCTGTTGGAGAAGATTTCATAAAGCCATCATTGACAGAAATGTCATAAAATGCGTTGCCTATGTTTTCTTCTAGTGTTTTATGATTTCAAATCTTATATGCAAGTCTTTAATCCATTTTAGATTAATTTTTGTTTATGATGTGAGATAATCTAGTTTTATTCTTTTGCATTCACTGTCCACTTTTCCCAATATCATTTTTGAGACTTCTTTGTCATAAATTAGATGTCTGTGTAAGTGTGTGCTTATTTCTGCACTCTCACTTCTTTTCTATTGGTCTATGTCTTTTTTTATTCCAGTGCTATAATATTTGATTATTATAGCTATATAGTATAGTTTGAAGTCTGGGCATATGATACTACCATTCTTTTTTGTCCGGATTGATTTAGCTATTCAATCTCTTTTGTGGTACCATGTAAATTTCAGAGTATTTGTTCTATTTCTTTGAAGAATGCCACTGAAACTTTCATGGGGATTGCATTGATTCTGTACATTGCATTGTTTGATAGGCATTGCATTGTTTAGGGTAAGATGGTCATTTTAACAATGTTAATTCTCCTGATCCTTTCCATTTCTGTTTGTTTCCTTAATAGTGTCTTAAAGATTGTCTTCTTAGATTATTTGATTAGTTTTCTCTTTAATTTATTAGAAACCTAAATAACAACTAAGAACAATTATAATATTTACTGCGTTAAACTGAAGAGCCTAAACAATTTCTATAAAATTAAATATTTGACACTGATTTTATTGTGTTACCTTTATTAACTTGACTCATGTTATTTTCAAAATGGAAATAATTTAATTGACCTTGTTATTTTGAAATAATGTTTTGTTGCAAGACATTTTGGGAAATGTAGAAAGTTCAAGTTGTATTTGCTAGCATTTACAATATTTCCACAGCTTGTTCTGTATACTCTGCTGAGTCAAGAGAGAAGACCTGACCCAGAGGCCGGCCTGCTGCTCTACCTCAAGACTGGCCAGATGTACCCTGTGCCTGCCAACCATCTAGATAAAAGAGGTGGGGCTGTTTCCTCTGAATTTTACTTCTCTAGGTTTTACTTGTTTGTTTTGAACTTCAGCTCTTGGTGACACATATTTATACCTGACACTCACTCAAATTTAAAGAATTTTGCCAATACACTATATCATTGAAATGATTAACTTTTGTGAATTTTATTTTTGAAATATTTATTTTAAACTTCTTAACTTATACTAGAGATTCTTTAAAGAGCTGTATTTTTCCTTAGCATTCAGCTAATAAAACACTAACTTACCAACTCTACTGATAGCATGCTTAAAGAATTATCAAGTGAAGAAATATTTGAAGGGGATATACCAAAATATTAACAGGGGTTTTTTAAGTATAGTAAGAAATATGAATGTTTTCCTTTTTTTTTTTACTTAAATAGTGGGAAAATATGTAAATATTATATAATTCTTATAGATACTCTCCCCTTTTTTTGCCCCCTAGAATTATTAAAGCTAAGGAACCAGATGGCTTTCTCTTTGTTTCACCGTACTAGCAAATCGGTTACTGGAATGAAGAAGACAAAGCTTACTCCTTTGCCAGAAGTAATTAAGGAACAGCAGACTTGTAAATATTGCTCACAAGTGAGCACCTGTGCTCTTTATAGCAGGTAAACACAGTTTTCCCAAATTATTAATTCAAGATGAGTATACACTCAATATGATTTAACATTGCTTACTGCTCTGACATCACTGATTTTATTTTAGTTATTTTTCTCTGTAGACGGCACCTCTGAAATGAAGGGAATTGCAAATATAACAACACGGTTCTTATTTCCTAGCAAGCCTGTTTCCTTGGGAAACTTTTTTTTTTAAGATTTATTTATTTATTCCTACGAACTGGGGTACAGGCCAGAGGCTCAGGGGCGGCGAGAGGCTTCACCAGAGACAGAGTGGGGAGCAGAACAGGCAGATCTACGAAGTACACTGCTGAGGGGAGCAGCGGGCGGGTCAGGAGAGGTCTGCCACACCATGTGTCATCTCCAGGGTAGGTGGGAATCGAACTCATGCAGAAGTGGCTTTAGCTTCTCAGTGCTGTGCTTTAACCCGCTGCGCCACCAGGGAGGGCCGGAAACTTATTTTTTAAAAGTTTAATAGGAAAACTTTTGCTAAAAGTGTATGTTTTAATTATACTGTATTTAATTTCTGGGGAAATGAAATAATTTTAGGACTTAATGCAGTTTAAGAAAGATGTAGTATAGTTATTTTGAACATAATACACTGGGTATTCAGTATTTATAAGTCATGGATTATAAGTCATTTTGCTTGAAGCCATTGTTTACAAGAGCCTTTTGAAAATGCCAAATGAGAAATTATTGTACGCCTTTTTTTTTTTAAGATTTATTTTGTTTATTTATGTATACAAGAACGGGGTTACAGGCCAGACATGGATTGGGGGGGAGTTGAGAGGATTCACTAGAGACAGTGTGTGAAGCAGGACAGGTGGATTGACTGAAATACACTGCTGAGAGGAACAGTGGGGGAGAAAAGAGGGGTCTGCTGCCTCATGTGGATCATTTCCCTGAGGTGGGTGGAGGAGTTTGCTCCCTGGCTGGGGATAGAACTTTGCTGCAGTGGCTGCTGGTGGCTTCATACTGCTGACATTGTAACTCCTTGCACCATGAGCGAAGCCCCTAAAAAGTTGAAATGATTTCAAGAAAATTGGGTTTGGTGGTTATAAGTTATGATGATTAGAAAATAAAAGAATAATATGTAAAAACGTTATGATGTTTACCCTATTTATGTACTCATTTTAGAAATATCTCCTTTCGTAGCCAACAATGAAGTGTTTCCATAAACACTAACTTGGAGTTTTGTATTTAGAGCAGTTGAACAGCAGATGGATGACAGTTCAGTTCCAGTTGATGTGCTGCCCAAAATAAAAGAAGAAACCCAGCATCTAAAGCATACACACCTGGAGTATTTCAGCCTTTGGTGTTTAATGCTAACGCTAGAGTCACAATCAAAGGACAATAAAAAGAATCACCAAAATATATGGCTAATGCCAGCTTCAGAGATGTAAGTGGTCCATTAAATACAGTAAAATTTTAGTAATTTGGATTAGCTAGTAGGGTAGCATTTGGAATTTATGATATGTACTGGTTATGTCATGTGTTTTCATCTATTCATGACAACTCCAGATAACTATGTATTGTTTCAAAGTAGAGTATCATTATTACTTATTTTCAGTAGTCAAATATGTCTCAAGAAATCTTATTTAAAAATTACTAGTAAATCTTTATCAGTTGTAAGATATAAATGAGCATACATTATAGTGAATTTTAGCATACAGGCATAGTACTAATTAGCAAGGTTTTTTTTTTTACTGTTTTAAAATTAAAATTTAGAAGTTTATTTTTAATTATTTAAAAAAATATTTATTTTTACATGTAGAACTGGTGTACAGGCCAGAGGTGCTGGGCTGGTAAAAAGATTCACCATAGTCAAGAGTGGGGAGCAGAACAGACAGATTGACAAAGTACATTGCTAAGAGAGAGAGCAGTGAGCGAGACAGAAGAGGTCTGCTGTGCCATGTGGGTCACCTCCTGGGCAGGGGATCGAACTCGCACTGAAGTGGCTGCAGCCAGCTTGCATTGCTGTGCCCTAACCCGCTGCGCCACCAGGGAGGACCCTAGAAGTTTATTTTTATTAAATTTACATGAAGGTTCAAATTTTGTGTACTTTTCTGTATACGTATTTCTTAGAAGTTGTGAAATTATTGATTTTCTTGGCATTATTTTAATAAAAATAAATCCTTTTGAAAATACTAAAAGGATAGGTTGGTATTTCTTTATATCAGGAACAGATTATTAGAGTTGTCTTTTGTAATGTTGATAGGTATCAGTACAGGGTGCAGGGATGTGGGCCAAAGTGCTGATACCCGAGTTGTTCAAAGATCCCTGACTGTGGATGCAGCAGGGGGATGTGCTATAACACTTATCATGAGCTTTATTGGTGAGAGATCCTTCATTCTTTCATTCATAGATCTATTTATTTATGCATACAAGAACTAGGGTGTAGGCCAGAAGTATAGAGCGTGCGAGGATCCACCAGAGACAGAGTGGGGAGCAGAATTGGCAGATGTACTGAAATACACTGCTGAGGGGAGCAGCTGGCGAGACAGGAGAGGTCTGCTGTGCCAAGTTGGTCTCCTCTCTGGACAGCTGGGTATCAAACTTGTGCTGCAGTGGCTGGCAATAGTTTGATAGAGCTGAGGCTTTAACCCCTATGCCAGAGAGGCCCTGGTAAAAGATTACGTGAAAAACAATACAGAAGACATTTCCTTAGCATTTATACCACTTCAGTGTAGATTGTAGAAAATGTAGAAAGGATAGATAGAATCAATATTAGTCTTAAAGTTTCCAGGGGTTACAAGTAATGTGTAGAAAAAGCAAATGCAAATTTTATGTATATGATATAAATGGAATCTTTCTCTTTTTCAAAGGGAGAAGAATGGCAGCTGCATTGGAAACCTGATTCTAACAGGACACATAAAGACAGTTAGTGATGGACAATATTTACATAATTTCCAACGTAAAAATGGTGCCATGCCTATCACACACCTAATGTCAGGTGACAGAATTATTTTGAGTGGAGAAGAGAGGACCCTCTTTGCTTTGTCTAGGGGATATGTGAGTGAAGTTAGTATGACAACAGTAACCTGTTTATTGGACAGGTAATGAAATGTTATTAACATCTATTCCACATACCATACAATTTATCCATTTAAAGTATATCATTCCATGTATTTTTTTTAAAGATTTATTTATTTATGCATACAGAACTGGGGTACAGGCCAGAGGTAGGGTAGGTGAGAGGATTCACCAGAGACAGTGGGGAGCAGAACAAGCAGATGGACTAAAATACACCGCTGAGGGGGGCAGTGGGCGGGTCAGGAGAGGTCTGCCACCTATGTGGGTCAGCTCCCTGGCAGGGGAGCAAACTCATCCTGCAGTGGATTCTAAGAACATCATAATGTGGTGCTTTAACCCATTTCGCCACCAGGGAGAGCCCCATTCCATATTTTTTATTAGAGTCATAGAATTATGCAACCATAACCCTATACCCCATAATGAAGCCCTTACCCCTTTGCAGTCACTCCCATAAACAAACAACTGGTTTGTTTTGTTTTCTCTCTCTATATTTGCCTGTTCTTTGAACATTTTACATAGATGGATTCATATGTAGTCTTTTGTAAATGGCATTTTTTTTAAAAAAAAATTATGCATATAGAACTAGGGTACAGACCATAGTTGCAGGGGCGGTGAGAGGCTTCACCAGAGACAGAGTGGGGAGCAGAACAGGCCGACTGACGAAATACACTGCTGAGGGGAGCAGTGGGTGGGTCAGGAGAGGTCTGCCACACCATGTGGTCACCTCCGGGACAGGGATCAAATTCATGCTGAAGTGGCTTTAGCTTCTTAGTGCTGTACTTTAACCCACTGTGCCACCAAGGAGGGCCCTCATTTCTTTTTACAACTGAATAGTACCCACTATGTGGATAAAGCACGTTTTGTTTGTCCATTCACCAGCTGGTGGGCCTTTGAGTTGTTTTCATTTTTTAGGTGTTTGGCTAGTATTGCTATGAATATTTGCACACAGGTTTTTATGGCAATATTTATTTTCCTTTTTAGTCAGCTAGTTGTAGAATTGATCGTTAATGTGCTTTTTTTTTTTTTTAAAGATTGATTTATCTGTCCATTCATTCATTCATTCATTCATTCATTTATTTACACATACAGGACTGGGGTGCAGGCCAGAGGTGCAGGGGTGAAAGGAGTTACCAGAGAAAGTGGGAGCAGAATAGGCAGAAGTACTGAAATGCATGCTGAGGGGGCAGGTCAGGGGAGGTCTATTGTACTCCGTGGGTCACTCTGGCCAAGGATCTAACTCATGCTGCTGTGACTGCAATGGCTTTATAGTGCTGTGCTTCAACCTGTTGTGTCATCAGGGAGGGCCCTGTGTGCTACTTTTCCATTAAACATTTTGAGGACCTGCCAGACCATTAAACTTAAGTTTTTTCAGTATGGTCCATAGTGCTAATGTGGATAGTCTTTTTGTTGTTGTTCTTGTTCTAATGTGGACAGAACCTTGTCTAATTCTCACATCCTCATGTATATCAGGCCTGATAGATACCTTGCAGCAGTTACAAAGCTTACTGCTTCTTAGCACTCTGGACCATTGCTTACTTTTCTTTTAAAAAAAAACATTTTTTTTTTTTTCATTTGCAGATATGATATAATAAAAGTATACTTACCTCAGTTAGTTGTTGGGCCCTCCCTGGCGGTGCAAGGGGTTAAGCACAGCACTGGGAAGCTGTCTTTAGTCACTGCAGCACAAGTTCATTTTCCAGCCAGGGAGCTGACTCCACATGGCACAGCCGACCATTCCTGTCTCCCCCATTGCTCCCCTCAGCAGGGTATTTCATCGATCTACCTGTTCTGTTCCCCACTCTCTCTCTAGTGAATCTTTTCACCCCTGTATCAGTGTCCAACATCCTACTTCCTATATACATAAATACATAAAATAAATCTTTTAAGAAAAAGAGTACTGTGCTCAGGATTCTCTGAGGGGCTATGGCCCAGGTTCGAGGTCAAGTGAATTGTCAGCCAGTATTTTAAGCGCCTGGTTACCTCTTACCTTGACCTTCATGCCTTGTGTCCTCCCATTTCTCACCAATCTGGGGCTATTGCTGTCTTTGACTCACAAGAGAGAATCAGCTGCTGATAGCCCTTCCAACAACTGTTCTGGCCCATTTTCTCTGGCAGACATCAATAAGTTTCTTATACAGATCAATTGACTATTTTAAATGAAAAACATTCATAAACATCTGAACTACTATTTTAGGAATGTGTCAGTACTCCCAGCATCGACTTTGTTCAGATTGGACCAGGAAGAAAAAAACTGTGATATAAGTACTCCACTAGGAAATCTTTCCAAGCTAATGGAAAACACTTACACCAGGTTTGTGACAATGAGTGAATCTGAATTTTTACTCTGCTTTCCTATGGATCATCATTATTATTAAAAACATTTGTTTTTCTTTCCAGTCAAAAACTTCGAGACTTAATCATCGACTTACGTGAACCTCAGTTTATTTCCTACCTCAGTTCTGTCCTTCCACATGATGCAAAAGATAGAGTTGCCTGCATCCTAAAAGGTGTGTCCACTTCCGCTGATTGTGCCTATTCATAACTTAAACTACACTATAATCTAGTGATTTAAACATGTATTAAACTTGCAGTTACAATGATCAGATTAAGTCTCTCTGAAATTAGTTTATATATATCCTTTAATGTCACCATGACATTTTCTTGTTTTGAAAAGATGTACTCAAAAACAAATTTGAAGAGGCTGCTTTTTCTTATAAAATAATGAATTTGCTCATTGAAATGTAACACGTTTCCCTTATTTTTAAATATAAACATAGGTTTGAATAAACCTCAGAGGCAAGCAATGAAAAAAGTACTTCTTTCAAAGGACTACACACTCATCGTGGGTATGCCTGGAACAGGAAAGACAACTACGATATGTACTCTCGTAAGGTTATTATTTTTGGCTTAGAAATTAATATATCACTGTGTCTTCAGTTTAGAGGATGTGATGTTTGATATCAAAAGGGCTGGTTTTTAAGTAAAATGTCTATTTGAAATCAGCTTTCTAGGAGGACATAAAAATAGAGAAACTCACTCACAAATAGCTAGAGTCCTGTAAATTTCTTGCATTTAGAATTGTTTTAAGATCTCTTTCTATTGGTGGCCTGTGTATCATCATTTGTTTTCTTTTCCCTTTAAAATATGATAAATTATAGTCAGTAATATTTCTAAGTATTCTTAGATTAATCATAATGATGACAGCAGCTTATTTATTGAATGATACTATTCACCAGGCACTATTAAGTACTGATATCTATTAAAATTTACTGTCACTTATTAGCATATGATATGTAGCATAGTATCTATTAGCACCATGTAATTTTCATAAATTTTGTCTATGATATGTTTTGAGAAGCTACTTGGTTCATCTTTTAGACAGTTTTCTAATTCTTTATGAAAATATAATCATGTTGGAAATTAACTAAAATTAAAAGTAATGCTATTTTCCTTTCTTCTATTATTAGGTGAGAATTCTCTATGCCTGTGGTTTTAGTGTTTTGTTGACCAGCTATACACATTCTGCTGTCGACAATATTCTTTTGAAGTTAGCCAAGTTTAAAATAGGATTTTTGCGCTTGGGTCAGATGCAGAAGGTTCATCCAGGTATCCGGAAATTTACAGAGGAGGAAATGTGTAAATCAAATTCCATTAAATCCTTAGCTCATCTAGAAGAACTCTACAATTCTCAAGTAAGTATAATTACTGTATAATATTGTGTAATACATACAGAGTAATTTCTGTAGCCAGAACAAGAGAAGAAACCACATTTTGGGAGATTGAGTCATACTGGCCAAGTTTGCATGTGATTCATTTCTATAATAGATTTGTTATCTATTATTCAGGCCACCCACCTTATAGTTTAAAATATCCCATGAAAGGAAAACTGTTTCTGTTCACAGTTCCTCTGAGGCTACTTGAAGTTAGTGCAAAGCCCTTAGGTTCCATACCACAAACTTACCCCCTACTTAAGTCAGTTGGATTCCAGACCTGTTCTTCTGACTGACTAGCTGTAAATCAGGGATTCCTATGATCCCACTATTGGATTTGCAATAATTAATTTGCAATAATGGCTCATAATCAGTGCTTTGCTTACTGAGATTAGATATATTTCTTTTTTTTTTTGTTCTTTAAAGATTTATTTATGTTTATTTATACATACAAGAACTGGGGTGGAGCCAAAGGGTTGGGGGATGAAAGGACAGAGGCAAAGTGGGGAGCAGAACAGGCAGATCTGCTGAGGGGAGCGGCAGGCGAGATAGGAGAGGGCTGCTGCACCATGTGGGTCAGCTCTCTGGCCAGGGATCGAACTAATGCTGTAGTGGCTGGCGACAGCTTGTTAGCACTAGGATTTTAACCCCTGCTCCAGGGAGGCCCTACACATCTTTGTTTAGGTTATTGTGGCTGTTAGTGATTGACTTAATTCATTGTTCCCCTGCCCAGAAGTGGAGATGCAGGCAGGTCTGTAAATCCCAATCCTCCAGTCACAAACTTGGCTCTTCAGGCAGTCAGCCCCCATTCTCCCAGAGTCTTATTTATCCCACTAGCATATATGCAGGTTTGGTTGACAGATGCTTATTCTGAATAATAAAAGATGCTCTTTGTACCCCTATGGCCTAGAAAATTCCAGGGGTCTTAGGAGCTTTGTTTCTAGGGAGAAAACCAAGTATGTATTTCGTATTATTAAAGGATTCAAAGCAGGTCTTCCCAACATAGCACTTAGGCATATGGATTATTTTGTGCAAAGGCCAGTTGAGACACTGTAGGCTCAAGAGAAAGATTTCCCCTACCTCCCTGGAAGAATTTAATGAAGGGAGGTTTGCCCATGGTGTGATAGGGAGAAGTGTTAAGATGGACTCAGAGGCCTGGGAGTGAAAGAATTCACCAGAGACAGAAAAGAGAACAGAAAAGGCAGATTTATTGAAATATCACTGCTAAGAGAAGCAGCAGGCATGGCAGTGGTGATGTGTGCGGGGAAGATTTGAGGCTTTTTGCACTCTTTTGGTGAGCTTGCTACCTTGAGGCACCAGCTTGCACCAGCTATGCTGGGATATTTGGTCTGGGACCCTGGCCTTTGCCACTAAAGCATACTCTGGCATCTGCTTCTGCATTCCTGGAGCTGGGCGTGGTGGTAGTCCCATGGCCATGTCCCCAAGGTAACCTTATCAAATCCTTTATCTATTCAAGCCTCCCAAACCTGCCTGCTGGGCCAGGAGTTGGGTCTTAGTTTTTAACTTTATAAAATGCGTAATGTGCATGTGTCAATAGTCTGTTCCTTTTTTATTGATGAGGATTGTTTCACAGTATGGATGGACCACAAGTTGTTTATTCACTTGTTGAAAAACATCTGGATAACAACAACATTCTGGATTTTGATGAAACCCACTTTTTGGCTAATACAGGTCAAGCTGCCATAGGCATTCATGTATAGGATTCATTTCTCTGGAATGAGGACTCAGAAGTATGACTTTTGGGTCATTTACAAGTTACATACTTTTTTGTTGTTGATTATTTTTCAATCTACCAAACTAATTTTTTTTGTATTAAAAAAATATTTTGTAGTCCCACCAGCAATGACTGTGTCATTCTTGTTGGTATTTGGTGGTATCACTGTTTTTCATCTTAGATGTTCTGATAGGTATGTCTGATATCTCATTGTGATTTTAATTTGCATTTCCCTGATTATTAGTGTTTTCACGTGCTTGTTTGTAATGAAAGGTGGGGTGGAAGTATAGGTTCCCACTCTGCCTTTGCTAGCATTGGTGGGGGGAGGATCACAGTTTTTTCTGCAGCTTTTGGCGAGCGAGGTTATTGTATAAAAATTTTCTGTCTGGCCCTCCCTGGTGGCACAGTGGGTTAAAGTGCAGCACTATGAAGCTATCTGCAACCACTGCGCTGCAAGTTTGACCACCTGCCAGGGAGGTGACCCACGTGGCGTGGCAGACCTCTCCTGACCCTCCTGCTGCTCCCCTCAGCAGTGTATTTCAGTACATTTGCCTGTTCTGCTCCCCACTCTGTCTTTGGTGAATCCTCTCACTACCCCCATACCTCTGGCCTGTACTGCAACTTAAAAATTTTTCTTTCTTTCCTTTTTCTTAAAAAGATTATTTATGCACACAAAACTGGGGTACAAGCCAGAGGTGCAAGGGCCGTGAGAGGAGTTAACCAGAGACAGAGCAGGAAGCAGAACAGGCAGATCTACTGAAATTCACTGCTGAGGGGAGCATTTGGCAGGCAGGTCAGGAGAGGTCTGTGCCATGTGGGTCACCTCCCTGGCTGGGGATCAAACTCATGCTGACGTGGCTGTGGTGTCTGCATAGTGCTGCACTTTAACCCGTTGTGCTACCTGGAGTGCCCATTACATAAAAATTTTCTATTAAACTTTAACTTTCCTATTACTTTGGCTAAAAGAGAGAGACTTTGTTGAAGCTTTTCTCACTTTGCACCAATTGGCATTCATTGTTTGCCAGCCTCTGCTTCAAATCTGCAAGAACAAAACTAGGGAAATAAATACTGCATTGTTCTTGAGTACCAAGGTACCTGCCTAGTTGGTATACCTTCTCCACGACTTTCAGAGTCCTCAATTGCCGTATATATAATGTCCAGTGTTTTTGATTAGTCTCTGGAGGAGAAGTAAAGGAAGCTATTCTATCATTTCAGAACTGAAGTCCTCATTGACTTAAAAAAAAAAAAAGAAAAGAAAAAGCATTGTATTAAGTTAGTGCCTTTTGAATGTTTCCAGTAGGAAATACCCAGACTTGATATAATGGAGGATTTACTTAATTTAAAAAATTTTATATTAAAAGTTTTTGAAGGAAATTAGCATTCCATATTCTTTTTAGAATTAAAGTAATATTGGTGGATTTTTGCTGTTGGGACCAAAAACTTTTAATCTAAAAAATGTGAAAAACGGCCCTCCCTGGTGGTGCAGTGGGTTAAAGCACTGCACTAAGAAGCTTAAGCCACTTCCGCATGAGTTCGATCCGTGCCTGCCCTGGAGGAGACCACATGGTGCGGCAGACCTCTCCTGGCCCGCCCACTGCTCCCCTCAGCAGTGTACTTCATTGATTTGCCTGTTCTGCTCCTCACTCTGTCTCTGGTGAATCCTCTCACCCTCTGCATCTCTGGCCTGTACCCCAGTTCTGTATGAATAAATAAATAAATCTTTAAAAAAAAATGGGAAAAGCAAGTTCCATTTTTTTGACATGTCAAACAACATCTTTTTTCTTTGTTTTTAGCTTATTGTTGCAACAACATGTATGGGAATAAACCATCCGATATTTTCTCGTAAAAGTTTTGATTTTTGTATCGTGGATGAAGCATCTCAAATTAGCCAACCAGTTTGCCTAGGACCACTTTTTTTTTCCCGGAGGTTCGTGTTGGTGGGTGATCATCAGCAGCTTCCTCCCCTGGTGCTAAACCATGAAGCAAGGTAATGGCACATTGAAGTTTTCATTTAAACTAGAATATGTTTAAGAGACACCATTAATACATTTATAAGCTGGGGTTTAATTTGTTAACAGAGCTCTTGGCATGAGTGAAAGCCTGTTCAAGAGGCTGGAGCAGAATAAGAATGCTGTGGTTGAGTTAACTGTGCAGTACAGAATGAACAGGTATCTGTCACCGTGTCTACTATGAGTGATTTCTCATGTTTATTTTCATCTACCGAAACTAAAATTCATTTTTATAATTCCCTTAGTAAAATTATGTCCTTAAGTAACAAGTTGACATATGAGGGCAAGATGGAATGTGGATCAGACAAAGTGGCCAATGCAGTGATAAGCCTACCTAACTTCAAAGATGTGAAACTAGAACTGGAATTTTATGCTGATTATTCAGAAAATCCTTGGCTGATTGGAGTATTTGAACCAAGCAATCCTGTTTGTTTTCTTAACACAAGCAAGGTAAAACAGTTTTTTTCTTTAATTTTTCTTTTGTTGTTATTTAAATTCCTGTTTTCAATAGTGAATGTTCACTAGAGCTTAAAGCTGCTGTACTTCATTTACTTGAACACAAAGGTATCTTACCTTTCTGTAGACTCAATTTTGTTGGCAGGAGGTATATTCTGAGGACTGGTAGATGTGAAAAGTGATTTTTATAGAAGGAATACTAGAAAGGAAATCGAGGGTATAATTACATTTCCTAGAAAAAGAAATTGGCATTGACACTAAAATAGGGCTAATGGACGGAAGATAAATTGATGTCCTTTTAAAGAGCTTCATAAAGAAATAGACTTGATGTTCTAGTGCAGTTTCAGGTTCATAGAACAAATTAGCTGAAACTACAGAGATTGTCAGATAACTCCTGTCTCCACATAAGCATATCCAGACAAATTTACACACCTGCCATTAATTGAAAATCTCTTAAGGACTTTAAATGACTTGAATTCTTATTTCTAGAAACTAAAAGTGAATTTTTGATCCTTTAAACCTAGTTTGTTTTGTTTTGTTTTTTACAGTTTGCTTTATTTAGTGCTTTTCAGTATTGATTTAGAAGTCTACATAGTAGAGTTAAAAGTATAGTGACCAACTGGTATGTATATTACTTTAAAATTATTTTGTCTTTTATTATTAAGATGAGTGGGGTTAGCTGGTTGTTAAAAATAGGCCCTCACCAGTGTACCATGATGGAATTTTCATTCTCTTGCATATTTCTCCTAGCATTTCAAAAACAAGACTTAACACCGTAGGATAGTCAAGCTCTGGGAAATTTACTCAGATAAACTCAGTTCATGAGTGACTGCATTTATTAGCTCCAATTTATTTGTTCTGATTTACATGTATTTACTTCACAAGGATCAACCAGTACCTTTACTTTTGTTACTGAGGTTTGCTTTTTCTGAGGATTCCTGAGGAAATAATTCAGGTTACATAGGGATGATGTCCTTGGAGAGTTTCACCAGGTTTGGTAGAGCTGGGGAACTTCGTCTACTCCACAATTTGTATGGAAGGCATTAAGAAAATGGAAAGAAAGAAAGAAAAAAAAAAAAGGCAAGGACAGATGTTAGAGCCATATCTAAATTTGAATCCTAGTACCATGATTTATTGTGAAATCTTGCTCAAGTTACTTATCTTTTCTGAGTGTTGTAAAATGAGAATAAAAAAAAAAAAGTAAAGTACATGAGGCCCCATGTGGTTGACTTGTTTCAATCATTTAGTCTCAACAGTGGCATGTTTAAGAAGGCTTGTCCTTGGGTGGCTTTCTGACAGTGACTAATATCATTCATTTTTGCTAATTCTTTTGTCCTCATTTTTTTTGTTTGTTTTGTCTTCATCTTTGAGGATGAAGATTTTTCATCTGTCTCCACAGATGAGTACAGTCTTTAGGACTACATATGCACTGACAGTATTCTTAACTTTAGAGATTGGTTTACTAGTAAGATGCATGTTATCTATTTAGGTTCCAGCACCAGAACAAGTTGAAAAAGGTGGTGTGAGCAATCTAACAGAAGCCAAACTCATAGTTTTCCTGGCCTCCATTTTTATTAAGGTAACGTAAATTTTGTGAATTTTGAGGACTAGTTAAAATTAAGGTACAGAGTAATGTACATAAAAAATAAGGTGCTAGAATGTATGGAAGGAGCTTAAGTTAACCCGTGGTATTAACCCATTTTTATTAAGGAAATTATCTGAGGCATAGTTTTTATAATGGCATTTTGGATTTCTCTGTAGAGTAAGTTTTTGTAACATCAGATAATTCTTATGGTATTAGTACAGTGATTGGGGATTAAAAGCTTCATTGTAAGGAAAAGCAGAGAATGAAATCTATTTATTTGTACCATTTCTGTAAGTGTGTGTGTGTACATACATTTTTTTAGGGGCAGTTAAGCCTAAATTATACTACTCTGAACTTCTAAAAATGAAGGAATTATTTCATCTCAGGAAATATGGACATAGATTTAGAATACATTCAATAATTATTTAGTTCTGAGAATAGGGACATCTGTTATAAGCATCAACCTGGTATTGTCTGTAAACATTTCATTTAATAAATTTAATGGAACTTAAATAACAAGTCACCACTTTTCATTTTAAATTGTCTTTTCCTGTTTAGGCTGGATGTAATCCTTCTGATATTGGTATAATTGCACCATACAGACAGCAATTAAAGATCATCAGTGACTTACTACCACATTCTTCTACTGGGATGATTGAAGTTAATACAGTAGACAAATACCAAGGAAGAGACAAAAGTATCATTTTGGTATCTCTTGTTAGAAGTAATAAAGATGATACTGTGAGTTAATTATATTTTCTGACTGTCTTTTTGGGCATTTCCCCCATTTCTGTTCCTTTTAAATTATGGTAAAAATGCATAACATAAAATGTACCATCTTAACCATTTTTTTAAAAAAGATTTATTATGCATACAGAACTGGGTTACAGGCCAGAGGTGCAGGGGTGGTGAGAGACTTCACCAGAGACAGAGTGGGGAGCAGAACAGGCCGACTGCAAAGTACACTGCTGAGGGGAGCAGTGGGCGGGTCAGGAGAGTCTGCCATGTGGGTCATCTCCCTGGCCAGGGATTGGACTCCTGCTGTGGTAGCTTGATAGCACTGTCTTTAACCCCAGTGCCACCAGGGAGTCCCCTAAGTCTTTTTAAGATCACTGCTAATTTGTTTTTCTTTTTAATCAGCTTGTTGAAAGATATAAAAGCAGTTTTTCACTGACTAGAATAGTATCTTAATGATGACTTGTTTTTAATTCACTGTTGTATACTATTGTAACCCCTTTATATTACAGAATTATGAGATTATTTTTATCTACAGAAAGGAAGCCTACTTTGACTCAAAACTTCTCACTTTTGAAATTCTCAGAGATGTCTGTCTCATTTTTGATGCTCAATTAAAGTCATATTTGAGAATCTATAGCATTCTGCCCATTATTAAGGAAATAACATTAAATTTTAGCTCTGATTTCTCTGACTGATAGATTAGGCTAAACTACTTATCAAAATATGACCTTTCACCAGTAGTATAAACTTTGTCAAGGAAAATATTTGAAAAATCCTCATGTTCCATCCAGAGGCTAGAGAAAATAGAGTGGTCCTCAGCCACCCGTGATTGAGCAAGCCCTGTACCTGGCTCTAGCACAAATGAACCTCTGATAACCACTGAGCTGCACTATACATATGTGTATATAGATACATCTATATGTGCATCTTATATGTGGTTTTATAAGTATTTGTATACTAATCCTCATTTTCTAGGAATCTTGTTAAACATAGATTGTTGGGCCTGCACCTGGAGATTCTGATTTGGTGTCTGAGTGAAGATAGGTCTGAAGGGGGCCTATGAAGCTGTGTTAAAGTTACAGTGTGGGGCTTCCCTGGTGACAACAGGGATTAAAGACACAGCACGATCAAGCTATCTGCAGCTACTGTAGCACAAGTTCGATCCCTGTCATGGGAGCTGACCCATACGGCAGAGCAGACCTCTCCTGACCCACCCACTTCTCCCCTCAGTAGTGTATCTCAGTAGATCTGTCTGTTCTGCTCCCCACTCTGTCTCTAGTGAACTTCTTATCCCCATTCTAGTTCTTGTATGTACAAATAAGTAAATCTTAAAAATTACAAGGTAAATCTCAAAAAGTTACAATGTGAGCTGTGGTTTTAAAAAGTAGGAAAATAGTTCAAGGTAAGCCATGTTCTTTGTCAGAAGAAACTCAGATAAATATGGAAACTCAAATAATTGAAGTTATTTTTCTTACAGATTGGTGAACTCTTGAAAGATTGGCGACGTCTTAATGTTGCTATAACCAGAGCCAAACATAAACTGATTCTCCTGGGATGTGAGCCCACACTAAACCGCTATCCTCCTTTGGAGAAGCTTCTCTGTCATCTAAATTCAGAAAAATTAATATCCTTTTGTTTTGTATAAGGTCAAATTTGATTTTGAGTATTGTATTTATGTAAGTTAAATCTCAAGGATTTTTGTGTGCATATTTCAAAGATCTGAGTCTACAAAGGAAAGAATGTAAACAATTCATAGTAAGTAAATTTTAAGGAAAAAATGAAATAATGATGGTGATGGGGAATGACACTTTTTGACTGAGAAGTTACTTAATCTGTTGTCCTAGGAAAAGGGCACATGCTTCCTAATACACACTTAGGAAAATTAGTTATCCATTCTGATTCCTCTCACCTAACATACACAATCTTTTTTTTTTCCTTTGAATCTTTATCCAGGAAAAAGCATTATTTATTTTTTAAAAGATGTGTTATTTATTTATGGATACAAAAAGTGGGGTATAGGCCAGATGTGTGGGGGTTGAGAAGACTTATCAGAGCCAGAGTGGGTAGCAAAACAGGCAGATGGACTGAAATACACTGCTGAGGGGAGCAGTGGGTGAGACAGGAGGGGTCTGCTGTGCCATGTGGGTCAGCTCCCTGGCTGGGGACCAAACTTGTGCTGCTGTGACTGCAGATAGCTTCATGGTGCTGCACTTTAACCCCTTGCAACAACAGCAAGGCCCCCAGCATTATATTTTAAAAATTGGCAATTTCTTATTATGTAATCGCTTTTTTTTTAACTTATTTTAAAAAGTTATATGCAAGTTTTAGGCTAAAATATACAAATTTCAGGCCTAATTGGATTTTATAGATTATTTTAGCATCCATTTTGTTATTTGAAAGATTGGGTAAAAACTCTTGATTTTTCATTTAAGATGCACAACTTTGTGGTGATAAGTACATAGATATTATTTTCTATAGTTTGAGATCCAAAGTCCATTTTTGTCTTTGGGAATTACGTAATCATCCATAGAATGCCATAAAAATCTATGCTTTAGTAGTCCAGTAAACCAAATTACAAAGTGTTATATGATAATGTCATAAATGTTTTTATGCAATGTTTTTAAGTATATCTTCCTTAATTTGTTTTACATCATTGATCTTCCATCAAGAGAGCATGAAAGTCTTAGTCACATATTGGGTGATTCTCAAAGAAGATAAAGCTCTTTTGTGCCCTTTTTTTTAAAGGAACATGGTGATCATTCCCAACAATCGCCCACAATTTCATTTGGATGTGCTGGGAAATCAGTGTGTGGTCAGACTCTGAAGGGCAAAGTGAAGTGCCCACACTAACTGCTTTTCTCCTTTGGGGAAGCATCCCTTTTTTTTTTTCCTTGTTCTTTTGAGCATAATCTTGTTAAGTATGAAGTTCTATCACTGTATAATATTTAACACTATTTTTTCAGTAAACATGGACACAAAACTGAAAAGTTTAGATTGATGTGATATAATTTTGGGTTTTTTGTGACGTAAAAAGAGTGTTTTTACCAACTTTAAAATGGATTGACTTTTGAAGCTGAGATTTAGACTTTTAAGTTTAAAATTTCAGGACTAATTGGACTTTATAGATTACTTTATGTCCATTTTGTTATTTGAAAGATTGGGTAAAAACACTGATTTTTCATTTAAAATGCACAACTTGTGGTGATGAGGACCTAGATATTATCCTTTTCAATAGTTTGAGATCCAAAAACCATTTTATCAATGTTTTTCCTGACTTTTGCTTTCTGATACTAGATTTTCCCTTTAAATCTAGATTTTTCTTTCTTTTTTTTGGATGCTCACACTCATTTATTTATTTATTTTAAATATCGAATCTGTTTATTCTGCTGCAACATTGTTTACAAATATTAAGAGAAAATGATCCCCATGTCAGTATCGCCACAGGATTTTTATATGCCATGGATCACATCTTAATATAATTAATTTTTTTCATATAATAGTTTATTTTTATATCATGTTGTGCATTTTTTCTAAATATAGTCTTTTAAGTTATTATTTATGAATTGTCTTGAAGTAATTTTTTTTTTTACTCTCCCATTTTTTATTTCAGTGTTCTATTTCAGCATTGTAGATTTTGATATAAAATTTTCATTTGGAAAGAAGCTTTGCTGAATTGACAATAGAAAAATATATTTGTACCTTTTTTAGTTTCATGTATCCTTTTGTTATGGGGTATGGCTTAATTTTCCTTTTTTTATACAATGATGATTTGTAAAACATTACCTCAGAATGCTTAACTTTATATATATGGTGACTTATGTATGTGGTGAATGATTTAGTATATCCATTTTCTATGAGATAGCCTTAAAGTTTTTGAAAATGAATGTTAAATATGTTTAAAATTGTTAATTCTACCTCAGGTGGTTTCCTTTTTGTTACTTTAAGTAACAAATTTTTTATTAAATAGTGTTTTCTAGGACCTTCCCTGGTGGTACAACAGGTTAATGTACATCACTAAGAAGCTGGCCACAAGTTGCAGCCACTTCAGCACGAGTTTGATCTCTGGCCAGGGAGGTGACTCACTTGTGGAAACACACTTCTACCTTGCCTGCTGCTCTCCTCAGCAGTGTACTTTGTCAGTCTGCCTGTTCTGCTCCCCACTCTGTCTCTGGTGGAAGCCTCTCACTGCCCCTGCACCTCTGGCTTGTATCCCATTTATGTATACATAAATAAATAAATCTTTAAAAAAATGTTTAAATATTCACTGGATATCATAAAGTTAAATAGCAGGAAAGAACCTAGATAATTTCAGTTCCTGGGAGTGAGGTAATAAAATTGTTTTGATTCAGTCATTGGTTTGTATAATCTGTTAAGCCCAAAGGAAGATCCTCTGGGAGAAATTCTATGTTTTGTACCATGAATTGGAGGTTTGCAAACCCAGACCAGGTCCTCAAGGAGCCAACAGTGCAGTACAAGTTCACATCCATGCAAGGAAAAAGCAGCAGTACCAGTCCCTAAAGTCACTAATATTGGACACTTTTTACAGTCCTAATCAAGAGCACCATTAGCCTAGCCAAGTCTTTACAGTATAAGATCAGGCTGTGATGGCAGTGTAGAGGATCCTGCAGCCCCACTTTTGGGTTCAGAATTCCAGCTTCCTGACTTTTTGCTGCCTCTGATTTTTCTTTCCTTCCTCATCCCTCACTTTCTAATGTCAGGTCCTCGGAACTTTGTTTGGTCTGGCCCTCTTATTTCTCCTTGAACAGTCACTGGCTTTGACCATCACCTGTGTGGCTGGTTACCCCATTCTATACCTTCTAAGTTCTGTTGATTAAACAGTTTTAATCAGGGGTATGTGAACCAAGTTGGACCCAAAGGATGAAGTCTGCCTTTCCTGATAGCTCTTGTAAGGCTATTGCTTTGGCACACACTAAAAGATTTTTACAGTCTTTACTTTTTAGCTTATTTTTTTAAAAAGATTTTTTTTAAAAAAAACCCTGTAGAACTGGGGTACAGGCCAGTGGTGCAGGGGCCATGAGGGGATTCACCAGAGACTGAGTGGGAAGCAGAACAGGCTGGCTGATGAAGTACACTGCTGAGGGGAACAGTGAGCGGGTCAGGAAAGGTCTGTGGTGCCATGTGGGTCACCTCCAGGGTGGGGATTAAACTCATGATGAAATGGCTTTAGCTTTGTAGTGCTTGCTTTAACCTGCTGCACCACCAGTGAGGCCCCACTTTAGCTTATTTTTTATGATGAACTTTTAAGAAAATCATTATAAAGCTTCAAACATACACAAAGTTGCATAGTATAGTTAATTCCTATATACCTATCATCCATATTTAATAGCTAGATTTTGCTGCAATTGTCTTCAACATTCTTTTTATTGAGATATTTTTAAACAAATTCTAGACATTTAATTTTACCCCTATTCTTAAGTATATGATGAGTGTTTAAAAAATAGTATTTTGTTATGTATTTGTAAGTTTAAAATCTGAAATTCTTAGCTTTACAGATCAAGAGCTCAGAACAAATTAATGCTCTACTTGAGCCCTATTTAGTATTAAAACACATTCACTAAATTCCAGTTCTGTTCAACATGGGCTGGAGTATCCAGCAAAAGTATATTTGGAATTGAAGAATATCTTCCTCAAAAGGAGAGATTTACCTGTTGCTGAATTAAGTTGCTTGCTTGCTTTCTATAAAGTTCCTGTTGGAAGAACAATCTAGAAATAAATCTCTTTTAATATGTACTTAGTTTTATTTGTTTAGAAAAGGACTTAGGTCATATTCCAAAGTTGAGAAGCTAGTCAGTAGAAGGGATTAGTCTTGTTAAGAGTTTTTCCTCTTCACACACTTCCCACCCCTTACCCTGACCTCTGGACTACACCTCAGTTCTATATAAAAATATATCATAAAGTAATAATTCCAAAAAAACAAAAAAATAGAGGGGCATAGAAGACCAATGGTGAAAGAATCACAGCATATCGCATGTCATTCACTAAAATCAAATTAGTGAAACAACAGACCCAAATATGAAAGGTGAACCTATCCAACTCAAGAGTGTATTTATTTGTACATACAGAACTGGGGTACAGGCCCGAGGCTCAGGGGTGGCGAGAGGATTCACCAGGAACAGAGTGGGGAGCAGAACAGGCAGATCTACGAAGTACACTGCTGAGGGGAGCAGCGGGCAGGTCAGGAGAGGTCTGCCACGCCATGTGGTCACCTCCGGGGCGGGCGGGGGATCGAACTCATGCGGAAGTTGCTCTAGCTTCTCAGTGCAGTGCTTTAACCCGCTGTGCCACCAGGGAGGGCCAGGAAAATTTCTTAACATACTAAAGGATGAATTATAAATTTAGCTACAAGAAAAGAACTTATAAAAAGGATTCCATAAAGGGAAAAAATACTAGCCAGAATATCTTGGCAACGCATAATTAAAGCCAAATTAATACATACAAACCAACAAGGATAATAGAAAAACAGGCTAAGACTTTAATGGGTTTTTTGCAAAAGAGGAACTCCAAGAAGTAAGCATGATGACTCAGTGTCATCAGTAATTAGATAAATACAAAATAAACTCCCCATACAATCAAGTTAGTAAAAAGTGAAGTCTAGTAAAAAGTGAAATGTGCAGGAGTTCGATCTCCGCCTGCCCCGGAGGAGATCCACATGGCGGGCAGACCTCTCCTGATCGCCCGCTGCTCCCCTCAGCAGTGTACTTCTTCGATCTGCCTGTTCTGCTCCCCACTCTGTCCCTGGTGAATCTTCTCACCCTCTGCATCTCTGGCCTGTACCCCAGTTCTGTATGAATAAAAAATTTTTTTTTTTTTTTTAAAGTGAAATTCTAACAATTCCAAGCAGATTATACTGTTTGGACACAGTATAGGACACAAGCAGCAGAAAAACAACACTGCTGATAGGAGTGTAAGTTTTGAACACATTTTGGCATTATCTAGTAAATTTAAGGAAGTCATAGCTGATTTCCTAGTAAGTATTCTAAATCAGGTGCTCTACAGGTTTTGAATTCATGGTGAGAGGTATGTCTGCCTTGGAAATAGCCCAGTGTTGTGTTATGCCACCTGTGAAAATTCTATAAGCAGGCAAAAAGAAAAACTATGTTGTTTAGGGGGCACATACTTGTGTGGATGTAATACACAGCAAAGCAAGGGTACTATTCTCATCAGAATTGTGTTAACCTTATATTAAGTGCTCACTTGATTTGGTGGTGGACAACAACTATTCCTGCCATAATGATTCTTTAAACTGTTAATTCTTTTTTAGACAGATTTATTTATGCATACACGAGCGAGCTTTGGGTGCAGGCCAGAGATAGGGGGTGAGAAGATTCATTAGAGACAGAGTGGGGGAGCAGAACTGAAATACACTGCTGAGGGGGACAGGGGTGAGACAAGCCTGCTGCACCAGGTGGGTCTCATCCCTGAGGGGGATTGAAATTCAGTGTCAGTGGCTGTGGATAGCTTGTCTTAACCCCTTGGGTCACCAGAGATGCCCAACACTCAATTCTAACACATTTTTATTATGCAAGGTTATCTCAGAATAATGAATATTCAGAGCCAAAAGAAGTCAAGATGCACAACAGAACTGTATACGGATCAGTGATTAATAGGAAAAACATCGTTCAGTTTTTTTTTTTTTAAGATTTTATTTATTCTATTCATACAGAACTGGGGTACAAGCCAGAGGTTCAGGGCAGTGAGAGGATTCACCAGAGACAGAGGGGGAGCGAACAGGCAGGTGGACCAAGTACACTGCTGAGGGAAACAGTGGGCGGGTCAGGAGAGGTCTGGATCTCCTCCGGGCGGCGGATGATTGAACTTGCACTGAAGCAGCTAGGGCTCACTTGCAGTGCTGCATCCTATCTCACCAGGGAGGCCCATAGCGTTGAGTTTTAATGAAATAGCTCGTTCTATTTCTTAGTCACTGTGTTGACACTTGAGCTAACTAGGTAAAGGCTTACTCATCCGAAATGGATATAACTTAAGCCTGATATTTGACCACAAGATTCTTTTTCCCTTGAAAAGGCTGTCTTTATATCTCTACCTCTTCCCCTGTGATTCGAAAGGCCAATCTTCATTGTGTGTGTTTGTTGCGTGTGTGTTTATATAACCAATGTCTTTACTGGCTGAAGCGTCGTGGTTTTAGCGTTTAAAACAATTTCAGTACATTTCTGCCTCCAATGTCAGTGGCTTCGGATTTTCAAAATTCCTTGCCCCCTTTAACTTTGTGAAGATGAAAGGGAAGCTGTCAGGGATCAGATTAAACCCATGCGCGCTCTGAAGGTAGTTTGCAGGTGGCTCGCCAGCCGGAGGATGCAGCCTTAGCGTGCAGGCGAAGCCCCGCAGGGTGAGAAGCCCGTGGTCGCACCAGGGTCTGGCCCTCACACCCTAGATCTTCTCCACATTCCTTTTCCTTCTTCCGGTCCCAGTGGACGCCCACTGGACGCCGGAGGAGACTCGGCGGTGGCGAGGGCGGGTTTTCTCTGCAGTCGGCTGGAGTCTCCGCGATCCCCCGCCCCACTCGCCGAGCCGTGGGCTCGCCCGGGCGTCCTCCCGCCGCCGGGAGCGCTGTGGGCCGCAGCGGGCCGGGTCACAGACGTCGTGGCGGCCGCCGCACGCCAGAAGGGAGTTGTTAGCGGGGCCCAGGGAGTCCCCGCCCGAGACCGCGTCGCCACCGCCATGGGTAAGGGGAGTGGGCCGAGAGCGGACCCTGGGCCCGCCATTCTGCGCTGAAGGCCGCAGCTTGATGAGGAGGCCGGTGGTGGGGAGCACCGAGGTCTCGGGGTCGGAACTGGGGCGGGAACTCGGCGCGGGGTTTGGCGGGGGCAGCCGGGGACTCCCGGGCGCCCGGGGTCGCTATGGCAACGCGCGCGCGCCGCCCCTCCTTCCCTCCGGCCTCCGCGGGGGCTCTGGGGCCTAAAGGCCGAGGGTTCGAGAATAGACGGCTTCCAGGAGCTAGGACCGGGCGAGCCTGAGTTCAGCCACCGAGTCGGGGAACAGACGGGGACGGGTGATGACTTTTCAGGTTTGGGGGTGGCGGAGAGAAGATACTTCTCAGGTTTTGACATTGGTGTCTGACGCCGAGAGCAGAAGAGGGACAGACATGCAGCACACGAGTCCGGGTGAGCCCTTCGCCGGGGCCCTCGAGATGCCCGAGCCCTTTGGGTAGCCTTTCTGGGCTTGGGAGGGAGCCAGGAAAGGGGTCTAGCCCCGAGCAAGATGCGGGGACCGGCCTTTGGCGGGGTGGGGGCCGCGACCCGGGAGGACCCGTCCTGGAGTAGGGGTGGGGCGCGGCCGGGGAGCGAATGGTCCTCTGCGAAGAAGCTGCGGGTGCCCAGCTGGGTCCTGCCTCACAGCGACTGCAAAGGAGCTCTTTGTCTGGTTGTCGCATCGCACGTTAAGGGTTGTGATGGGCTCTGGGTTAGGAAAAATGAAAATTGTCACAGGTTATGAAACATCGAGTGATTTCGCCCCCGGAGGGGTGGGGGGAAGGGGAGTCGCACCACTACGCAGATTTGAAGAAATGTCGCGTCTGGCTATTTTTCACCAGCCAACGCAGCAGTTGTGACTGCGTTTTAAGTTGCTTAGTATGCAGTATCAAGCTCCAACATCTAGCTTTCTGACCTCAGGAGAATACTCGATCAGCGATTATGAAATGTTGTATATGAAGTGTTTGATTTTTCTGCACTTAATGTTGTCATCTGTTTTTTGCTGAAAATATTGCTGCCATTCACAACAGTGATGAGGGCATGGAGAAGCTTCTGGGCTTCCAAGCACAGTGAAAGTATGGGAAAGAAAATATTTTGTGAATTGAAAATATCAAGTAAGAAAACGCATTGAAAACGCACTAGCTAGCGTGATATCCAACATCTTCAGCTGTGCAGAGGGGCAGGGCTCGTTAATGTGAAACCCTTTATTTCCTCTGGGCTAAGGAGTCATGCAATACAGAAGCCACTGCAGTGGAAATACAAGACAGAAAGAGGATGAAAGTGAGTCAAAGAATTGAATGGTTTCCTGTAGCCCATTGTTTATCAGGGCATTTTTATTTATCTTTGGGTCTGTTATAGCAGACACTGACATCTTAGAATTTTAACTACCTTCTTTCTGATTGCCAGGTTATTTTGAACATTTATTTGCCTTGAATTCATTCTTGGGTCTTTCCTGCTAGCCCACTTTTGCTCCAATCCTTAAATATGTCTGTAACTCCAAACTTATCTCATTAACAAAAAGACATTAACAGAAAGTCATTAACAAAATCATTATTCTCCCTGAAGAAGAAGGTACTACAAAAGCAAAATAAATAACAGAGAAGGTCAATTTTCAGGAGCTTGAAAATAATTCATCAACTTCGGTCGGCTTGGTAGTGTTCTCTGGTATGTGTGTGGTGTATGTGAGAAACAGAGAGAGAAGGGCTGGATATAGGTTAGTTAGGGAGACTGATTTGTTGCTGAAGGAAAAATAAACCACTGTTGGTTTTATAGGGAAAGGAAAGAGTTTGTCTATTTTTCCACTGTCTTGTTAGGCAAATGATGTTGGGTTCCTTTCTTCTGCTTTCAGCTACAAAAGATCCTACCGCAGTGGAGAGAGCAAACTTGTTAAACATGGCTAAACTGAGTATCAAAGGACTCATTGAATCTGCTCTAAGCTTTGGCCGCACACTGGATTCCGACTATCCCCCCTTGCAGCAGTTTTTTGTTGTTATGGAACACTGTCTGAAACATGGCCTTAAAGGTATCGTGAGATTAAAAAAAAAAAATTAATTTTAGAATCCGCCTCTTCCGTCTTAAGCATTCTTGAAAATGTGATATTTTTTGAAGTTGTATTACTTTCATTTAAAATTACTGGGCAGCTTGGTTTTGGGAGAAAATGTCCTGTTGCTTTATATTTTCTGGGGTAGCCTTTAGAAAATGATTGTTAATGTTTTGTAGATAGCATGTTTCCCCCAACATACTTTGAGTTTCTATATCTAGGATGATTGAGGTTTTTTTTTTTGATTATGAGTGATTTAAAAAAATTTCAAGTTGGTGGCTCTGATATAAAATCTTATTCTGATATGAACTCTTAGAGCTTGACCCATATGTAACAAATACTTAATTGTTGAAATATAAATCTCCTTAGTGTAAAGAAAGATCTGGAAAAATTGTCTTCTGGATTGGGTTGTTGTAGATATGGGAGCAATCCCTGAAAATGATAATAATAGTAGATATTTTATTCTTCTATATACTTCATATTGGGTTACTGCTATTTCTAAAATGTTTGATTACATTTGGTTACCTAATGTGCATTGCAAATAACTTATTTACATTAGTAACTACTTACAGTAACAGTTGTTGGTCTCTAGTTCATATGATCAATATTTATGTAAAAGGCATGTGTTTATCTTTTTTTTGATTGCTGAGTAAAGGCTGTTTACTGAGGTGTCTATTATTTAGCAGAAGAATCTTGGTTTCTTATTGGTATACTAGACATCTGGGTAAATTGGGAAGACCAAGAATTCAGACTATGGCACATGAAAGAGGGGTTCAGTGTAAAAACTACAAGAGAAGACTTACCTAAACATGGCTTTAATAAAATGTATTTGATGTTGAGAAGGAACCTAGGAAGCAAATTTTATTATTAATGTGCTCATTTCTTTAAAGACTTAAAATAATTTAAAATTTTATGAATAATAGTGAAATACACTTTTTTGTACATGAATGAAAGGATGTAGAAACACAGTTTCCCTTTATTCTCTTCTCTTCTCCCTAAAAGGGTATCTTGTCATTTTTTTTCTTTTATTTTAGATAGATTGTTGCCATGAAAGTTATTTTATGATGCCTTTTTTTCCTTTGAAAAAATAACTTGATGGTATGATTTGGAGATGTTTCCATTTACATAGAGGTCTTTATCAATTTTTAATAGCTGTATAACTCAATAGTATATGATTATCATACTTTATCCAGCTACTATGTATTCTTAGGTTGTTTCTAATTTTTTTCTTTTAAAATTTTGCTGTAAGAATGTTGTGTGGTATATGTGTATGCTGGGATTTTATTATTGTTGTTATTATTTTTTAAAGATTTATTTATTCATATAGAACTGGGTACAGGCCAGAGATGCAGAGGGTGAGAGGATTCACCAGAGACAGAAAGGGGAGCAGAACATGCAGATCAATGAAGTATACTGCTGAGGGGAGCAGGGGGCAGGTCAGGAGAGGTCTGCCATGCCATGTGGTCACCTCTGGGGCAGGCGGGAAATCGAACTCATGTGGAAGTGGCTTAAGCTTCTTAGTGCTGTGCTTTAACCCGCTGCACCTCCAGGGAGGGCCCTATATATTTTTTAAAGATTTATTTATTCATATAGAACTGGGTACAGGCCAGAGATGCAGAGGGTGAGAGGATTCACCAGAGACAGAAAGGGGAGCAGAACATGCAGATCAATGAAGTATACTGCTGAGGGGAGCAGGGGGCAGGTCAGGAGAGGTCTGCCATGCCATGTGGTCACCTCTGGGGCAGGCGGGAAATCGAACTCATGTGGAAGTGGCTTAAGCTTCTTAGTGCTGTGCTTTAACCCGCTGCACCTCCAGGGAGGGCCCTATTGTTATTATTTTTAATATAATAGCTTATTTCTACATCATTTTGTGTCTTTTTCCATCTCAGTTGTAATCCCCGTGGGCTTCCCATCACCAAATCACCCGTGTGCCATTACCATAGTCCAGTGCATTTCCCCCCTTACTCCCCACTCATTTTTTTTTTTTTTTAGAATTGGAGGACTTATTTTTTTCTTTTTAAAGATTTATTTATTTGTGCATACAGAACTGGGGTGCAGGCCAGAGGCTCAGGGGCCGTGAGAGGCTTCACCAGAGACAGAGCTGGGAACAGAACAGGCAGATCGAGGAAGCACACCGCTGAGGGGAGCAGCAGGCGAGGTCAGGAGAGGTCCTCCACGCCATGTGGTCACCTCCGGGGCAGGCAGGAATGGAACTATCGAACTCATGAGGAAGGCGCTTTAGATTCTCAGTGCTGTGCTTTAACCCGCTGTGCCACCAGGGAGGGCCTCCCCACTCATTTTTGATCCCATTTTCCATTCTACCCCCATAAATTCTCTGGTATATAGTTGTTTGTTGTTATTATTATTTTCCCTGGTCCGTTATGCTGCTGCTCTGAGTGAAACCATCAGTATTTTTCTTTTTCTTTCGGGCTTATTTCACTAAGCATGATTCCTTCCAGCTCCATCCACTTTGCTGCAAAAGTCATGTGTTTCTTTCTTGATTGCTGAGTAATATTCCATTGTGTATATGTACCACATCTTTTTAATCCAGTCATCTACTTTTGGGCATTTGGATTGTTTCCATGTCTTTCCAATTGTAAATAAAGCAGCAATAAACATGGGGGTGCAGGTATTTTTTTGAATCTGTTTCTGAGCCTTTTGGGTAGATATCTAGGAGTGGGATTGCTGGGTCATATGGAAGCTCCATGTTTAGCAGTTTGAGAAACCTCCAAACAGTTTTCCATAGTGGCTGTACTAGTTTGCATTCCCACCAGCAGTGCAGGAGAGTTCCTTTCCTTTTTCTCCACAAACTCGCCAACATTTGTTGTTGCTAATTGTTTGAAGATGTGCCATTCTCACTAGGGTGAGGTGGTATCTCATTGTGGTTTTAATTTGCATCTCCCTTATTACCAGTGTTGTTGAACATTTTTTCATGTTTGTTGGCCATCTGCATTTCCTTTTTGGAGAAGTGTCTTTTTAGCTCTTCTGCCCATTTTTTGATGGGGTTGTTTATTTTTGTTGAGTTTCATCATTTCTTTGTATATCTTTGTGATCAGTCCTTTATTGCTAGTATTGTGTGAGAAAATTTTTCCCCAATCAGTGGGATGTCTGTTTGTTTTTTGTAATGTCTCTTTTGCTGTATAGAAGCTCTTTAACTTGATGTAGTCCCATTCGTTATCCTTTCCTTCACTATTGTTGCATTGGGTGTTGTATCTTTAAAGATGTAACTGAGGTATATGTCATGTAGTGTTTTGCCCATCTTTGCTTCCAGGTGTTTTATGGTTTCCGTTCTTATGTCTAGGTCTTTCATCCATTTTGAGTTGGTTTTTGCATATGGTGTGAGGTAGTGGTCTAGTTTTGTTTTTTTGCATGTAGCTTTCCAGTTTTCCCAGCACCATTTGTTGAACAAACTTTCTTTGTTCCATTGTATCTTCTGTGCTCCTTTGTCAAAAGTTAGCTGTCCATAAACTTGTGGGTTTATATCTGGGTTTTCTATTCAAATCCACTGGTCTATATGTCTGTTCTTGTTCCAGTACCATGCAGTTTTGAATTGTATAGCTTGAAGTTTGGGATTGTGATGCCTCTATTCTCTTTCTTTTTAGTCATGAGAGTTTTGGCTATTCGAGGTCTTTTATGATTCCATATGAATCTCATCAATATTTGTTCTATTTCTTTGCTTTAACTCGCTGGGCACCAGGGAGGACCCTATTCTTACTTTTATAGATTGTTTACCTACCCTTTATATTAACAGTCCCTAAATACTCCTTTTAATATATCAGGGAGTCACCAGTCTTTTTTGGAAAAAAAAAAGAACAAAACTAAAAACCTTTAAAATATTTATTTATTTATTTTTTAAAGATTTATTTATTTGTGCATACAGAACTGGGGTACAGGCTAGAGGCTCAGGGGCGGTGAGAGGCTTCACCACAGACAGAGTGGGGAGCAGAACAGGCAGATCGACGAAGTACACTGCTGAGGGGAGCAGCGGGCGGGTCAGGAGAGATCTGCCGCGCCATGTGGTCACCTCCGGGGCAAGCGGGAATCGAACTCATGCGGAAGCGGCTTTAGATTGTCAGTGCTGTGCTTTAACCCACTGCGCCACAAGGGAGGGCCTATTTATTTATTTTTAAAGATTTATTTATGCATACAAGAACTGGGGTACAGGTCACAGGTGGTGGGGGGTGAAAGAATGCACCAGAGACAGTGTGGGGAACAGAAATATATTGCTGAAGAAAGCAGGAGAGGTCTGCTGCACCATGTGAGTCAATTACGTGACTGGAGATGGAATTTGTGCTGCAGGAGCTGCAGATAGCTTGAGAGTGCTGTGTTTTAACCCATTGCGCCACCAGAAAGGGCCCAAAAACTTTTTTTTAAATGGCAGTGATATAGATCTTTACTTCCTCAAGCTTGCTAAAATGGAATTTGTAAATGATGGCTAAGATAATTCAGTTTTAAATTCTTTTCTGAGTTAATTTTCCTTTATTTCACAAAATATCTTGATACATGTCCTAACAGTTATAGGCTATCTTGATTAGTTATTACAAAGTCGTGCTGATTGATTTTCTAATGAAAAAGCCTATCTTGGGTTCTCCCTTGGTGATGCATTTGATAGGCATACTGGATCTGCAGATATCTGGTCAGTATTTAGAAAGAAACATACAGTGGTCATGGTTTTATATTATCTCAGGTTTGTAATAAAATAAAAGGCAAACATGTTCATGTTTGATAGGAAAATAACTTTTTTGATGCTTCCCTTTTATTAAACATTAAGTCAGTCAGTATCTATTGAGTCACCTACAAAGTATATGACATTGGCCCATATGTATGGCAGAAATAATGCAGTATAATTTTAAAAGTTTAAGTAATAGTCTCATTGAAAAATTAAAACATGGGCCTCCCTGGTGGCCTAAGGGTTAAGTCTCAGTACTATTATTGCAATGGTGCATGTTGAAGGCTTGAGTTCTATGTCTGGCCAGGGAGGTGACCCACATGGTACAGCAGACCTCTTCTGTTTCCCCAGCTGCTCTCCTTAGGAGAGTATTTCAGTAAATCTGCCTTCTTGTTCCCTCTCTGTCTCTGATGAATCCTCTCAACCCCACACCTCGGGCCTGTACCCCAGTTCTATGCAAAAATAAATACTCAAAATTTTTTTAAGCCAAGGTTAAATAAAAACATTAGGAAAATGTCTTTTTTTTTCCTTTGCTTTATTTAATTACTGATAATGATCAACTTGGTAGGGACTCCAGCCTCTTTTCTGTACTGGAAAAGGAGTTTGTTTTTCAGCTTAATTACTTGCTTGCATATTTCTGATAGGGGAAAAATATCAGGATCCTAGTTAATAGGCCTATGTAATAATAACAGAGGAAAGGTTGCTGAATAATTGCATATTAAGAAATGTTGAACTAAATATTTAAAAGGAAGATATTTTATATGTCGAAGGTGTATGTATTATTTTCTTTTTTCAGTAAGAAAATCGTTTTTAAGTTATAACAAAACTATCTGGGGCCCCTTGGAACTGGTAGAGAAGCTCTACCCAGAAGCAGAGGAAATAGGAGCCAGTGTCCGGGATTTACCTGGTCTTAAGTAAGTTGCTTTATTATTTGTTTATCCCTAACGACAGACATATATTTACTATTCCTTAAAACCTCACCTTCTAGTTTATTATTTTCTCTTAGCCCTAAGTAGCCACATTCCATTCCTTTCTAGTAAAATTCTGTTCATTCTTGATTCTTTTGCTAACATTTAATTTTTTTTCCTGAAGTTTTTCTGGGCTCCTTCGATACAGATTAGCTACTCATTTAAGTTTATGGCTATTCATTCCTTTACTAGGTCACTACTTCAATTTTATCTCTTATTGTAGGAAATCACATGTTTCTTTAAGAAAGAATATATCAATTATGTACCTCTGTCTCCTGAATGTTAAGTTAATTTGCAGTAGCTATCCATGAGTAACTGTTTGTTGAAGATTGAGCATAAATTCATGGCAAAAGCTCAGGAGATTTGAGTTCTGGGAAAAGCCATTTATATGCTATAGGACTTGTGCAGATTATTTTTCTTCCTCTGACAATTGGGACCTAACGTGTCATCTTTCTATTTTACCAGACAAATGTATCTGAAATATACTAAAAGCTTGTATAAAAGCCTATAACTCATCTGTGTTGAAAATTTTGCAAGTAGGGAATATTGTTAAGGCTACATTCTTAAGCTCTTTAGGGTATAATTAAGAGGGAAGAGCTCTATTTAATTAAATCTGAATTCCTTTGAATGAGGCAAAATTTTAATGCTTTTTCTATCAAATTATCAATTTGCTTTCCTTTAGCTTTACAATTTTTTATAATTTTATACATTGTAGGGAATATGCTAGTGTTTTTTGGCTATTATTACAACATTCAATTGTTTGCAAGTTGTACTTAACTGAGTGATCAAAATGAATGACCATTATTATTGAACACTGTGCCAGGGTAATAAGTTTTATGTGAATTATTTCACTTTGTGCTCTCATCATTCTTATAAGGTGGAGAGTATTATAATAATTGCATAGATGTGAAAAATAAAGATCAGAAGCAGGATTGGCAGAAGTGGGATTCAGATCTTGTTTTTAGAATTAAGTAACAAGTGATGTTCACACTTAATGTTTCTAATAGTGATTTTGCTGTAGTGATTTTTAACAATGACAGAGGAAAAAGGGGATTTCAACTCTTACTATGAAAAATATGATTTGGTTTCACTTTAATATGAATGTACAAAGTTAAAAGAATAAAAAATATTTAAGACATAAGAAACTCATAAGCTATTAGAAGTGAAGATCCACTTTCTTCCCATACTATTTGCTAAAATGTTCTCTGCATAAGAAAAAAAAAAAGCATCAATGATATTATACATACCTTTCTTTTAAAAAAAACATTCTATAAAACTGCTCAAATAATAGACTAGGTAAGAGAGGTATAAGATTTAAATTTTTTAAGTACAAATACCTAAAAGAAACATATGGGAAAACATCAAACAACACAGTGAATTCTCCTTAGTTAATTACCAGGTTGGGGCCAGCCTGGTAGTTTTTAGATATAATATCATTTATCATTGTTTTGCTGCCTTTTTGATGCATTTTGCATATTCATTTTAGAAGCTAAGCCCATTCTGACAAAATATTTCTTGTAGGGATATCTTCACTACCAAATCATAAAATGGTAGCTAGATGTCCTACAGGTACGATTTACCTTAGAGATTTAAATAACTCCTCGGCATTGGTTTCATGCTCATAGGGCTGGATTAAAATATAAAATGAAAAACAGCTATGATAAATTGCCTAGTTTATTATTATTAATGTGTCCCTCAAAGAGAGAGAATATGTAGAGGCCTCCCTTGTTGTGCAAGGGTTTAAGTCTCAGCATTAGGAAACTATCAGCAGCCACTGCAGCAGGAGTTGGATCCCTGGCCAGGGAGCTGACCCACATGGCACAGCAGACCTCTCCTGTCTTGCCCGCTGCTCCCCTCAGCAGTGTGTTACAGTATACTTACCTGTTCTGTTTGCCACTTTTGTCTCTGGTGAATCCTCACACCCACATCCACCCCCACCTCTGGACTATAACCCAGCACTTGTATACATAAATAAATAAATCTTAAAAGAGAGAGAGAGAGAGAGAGAGAACATGCAGTTTATCATCTTTGGAGCTATTTTCTGACAAATTGATTTTGCTTTTTAGGACACCTCTAGGTCGTGCAAGAGCATGGCTTCGATTAGCTCTTATGCAAAAAAAAATGGCTGATTACCTGCGTTGCTTAATTATTCAGAGGGATCTCTTGAGGTTAGTACCATTTATTCACATTCATTTTTATTTTTGTTTCATTTGTATCTTGTCTTCCAAAAAGGATTGGAGTTGTAATACAAAAGCATATATAATATACAATCAGATGCCATCAAATTAAAGAGCAGGACAGTGAGCGAGAAAGTATGGTGGGGACATAACATAGATCAGGAGCTAGCCTAAAAAGTGAACACCGTAGGCTTTTTAAGCTTTATTTTAAACAATGAGGGGGAAGTTTATATTTTTAAGTTTCACCTTTTCTAAATTACAGTTAATATTATGGGTAAATTTTGAATGGGAATTTGGGCCATTGAGAGGTTACTTTTTAGATCTTTGATGTCCAAACTACCGCTTCAGTTGTATTTTGAGTATTTTGTAAACAGTTGGCTTAAATTGAAGGCCAGATATTTAACAAAATACAGTAATCAGTTCTTGCAGGGAGTGAGCCCATGGATGACCCTCCATTTGTCCTTGTTCTCGACCTCAGAGTACCTCTCTGATATTTTGGAGAATGTGATCATTTTTGGTGTTATTTGTGACTGTGGTTGTACATCTTGGATTTTGTATTTGTTAAAAATGAGAACAACTGTACTTTCAGCACTTGCAGTTATCAGTAATACCCTAAGGTCAGTTAAAGTCATTAAAGAACATACATGGAATGTTTTGTGGAATACATGAGACAATAACCTCATGTGAATGTAAGTTGACAAGTTTTTTTTTTTACTGTCCTTACTTCTTTCACAACTTCCTTGTTTAAAATTTTTTAGGATTTTGAAATCTTATAAGTATCTTTATTTTTAAACTTCAGGTATAATTGATATATCATTATATACATCATTTTTTGTGTGTATTTAAAAATTTACATTGAAAATAAATCTTAGAATATTAAATCATTATATATTTTTGAGGTAATTATGTTAGTATTAGGTATACAATATGATTCAATATTTGTATATTTTGTTGAACATCCATAGCACAGTCATTTTTTTTTCTTGTGATAAGAACTTTTAAGGTTTACTCTTAGCAACTTTCAAATAATGCAGTTATTTACTTTCGTCATCATGCTGTAAATTTATTTTACAATAGGAAATTTGTACCTCATAACCCCCTTCATCCATTTCTCTCTGCCCCACTTTCCACCCTGCCTCTCACAATCACCAATCTAGTCTCTGTATCTGTAAACTTTTTTTTTATTTCACGTGTGAGATAGTCTAGTATTTGTCTTTCTCTGACTTATTCCACTTAGCACAAGGTCCCCAACATCCATTTATGTTGTTGGAAGTGACATGGCTTTATTTTGTTTTACCTGTGAGCAAGGTTCCTTTACAAAAATATAGCACATTTTCTTTATCCATTCAATCAGTTAAGTTTCATAATATCTTTAACCTACGATTATCTATTAGACACATTCACAATACACATATCAAATGCATTGACTTGAACTTTGGTTTTGGAATGTTTTGTATGTTCATTTCCCCAACCTACTCTTTATCCCAAGAGTCTTACTAAACCATAGGTTTGAAACTGTAGTCAAATAATTTCAACTTTAATAAAAAGTATTATAATCAGATCAGCAACTGTAATCATGTCCCGAGAATGAGACATTCCAGGCTTCCAGGATCCTCTTTTTGTTCTGATCCCTCTTTGCTTCTCTTTTTTTCTTGCTCAAAATTCCTTTCCCTCTTTTATTGCCTTCAGTCTCTTTTATCAAAAGTTTTCTGTGTAGACCCTTAAGTCTCCAAATTTTAGTTACTTACATATAGAAAGGTTGGTTTGAAGATACTTTGCTTTATATGGTCTCATGTTTATAATAAGGGGCTGAGAAATTTTAAATTTACTCTTTGTAATTTGTGATTTAACATTTTTATCATTTTAATGTTTACAGTGAATTCTATGAGTATCATGCACTAATGATGGAAGAAGAAGGATCAGTAATTGTTGGGCTGCTGGTTGGCCTGAATGTGATAGATGCTAATTTGTGTGTTAAAGGAGAGGATTTAGACTCACAAGTAAGTGCAAGTGACTTGTGCTCAGTGAAGAAGATCCCATTTATACTGTTTCTCTCCAGATAATATTTTAAGTTGTAAATAGCACTGTTAAACACTAAAGAAGAAATAAGAATGAAATTCAGTTCCATGTAATAATTCTAATATTTTTCCCTTTAAGTAAAAATAAGTTTCTATATTTTAGGTTGGAGTGATTGATTTTTCTATGTACTTAAAGAATGAGGAAGATATTGGAAATAAAGAAAGGTATGATGTTCAGAAGTTATTTCACATGGATTTCTAAAAATTAATATAATAGTTTATTTTTACATCATTTTGTGCCTTTTTCTATCTCAGTTGTAATCCCCCCCATTTTTTATCCCTTTTTCCCACTCTACCCCCGTGAAATGTCTCTAGTATATAGTTGTTCACTATTATTTTTTCCCCCCCTTGTCCTTTATGCTCCTGCTATGAGTGAAACCGATATTTTTCTTTTTCTTTCTGGCTTATTTCACTAAGCACAGTCCCTTCCAGCTCCATCCATGTTGCTGCAAAAGGCATAAGTTTACATTTTTGATTGCTCAGTAACATTCCATTCACATGTATGTTTTTTATGTAGCTTTGTACAAATCAATTTGAAATCCATTTATATCCATTGTAATTTTTATATTCTTTTTTCCTGTATGTTGTTTTCACTTTAATTTATGAACTTTATAAAGCAAATGTCACTTGGAAGAAGAGGCTTTAGTATGAAATACTATTTTTGGTTACATTTGTATGGTTTTTGAGACCCATTTTGAATAGTTATGTGTTTTATGATAAAAGGAGATAAAAGCTTATTTTCTTAAACTTAAAAAAGCTGATTTATTTCAAGAATTGTGCTTAAAATTTAAAATATACAAATGGTCTCACTAAGTCTAGTGTTAGTAATTTAACAAAAGTTACAGTGATTTATTGTACAGTTACTGCTACATGATTACATAGATTCTTGAAGTTTGTTTTAAAAACAAGATAATATTGTTTTATAGCAGTTTCAGCACCCAATAAACTTTTCCAACTAGCACAAAGCTACTTTATTCTTTCTATAGGAATGTTCAAATTACTGCCATATTAGACCAGAAGAATTATGTTGAAGAATTAAATAGACAACTGAAGTAAGTATTATTGATACTTGGATACTTAATAGTTACACTTATGACTTGTCCTAATTTCTTTTTCCCTTTTCAGGTCAGCTTAACTTTGTCTAAGTATTGTTGAGACAGGGTTAAGGTGATAGTGAACAGGCATTAAAAATACAAAGAACTCTTGATGATAATTCATTTTCAGGAGAAAATGAGAGTCACCTTTTTAAACAGCATCATCAGAACATTTAAAATTAAAATTTCAAAGTTATCCCCATAACTTTGGGAAGAAAGCCTGGATGGGATGGAAGTTTATATCATTTTGATGGCCCAAAAATTCATTTTTCCTACTTCAAAGGGCTTCACATATAAGTGTGACTGTCATCTTCCATGATGGGAATTTTCTCCTTTTATTGTGATTCAGTCATAGAAGCCATCAGTGAATACTCTGTAAAGAGTTTCTGACATCTGTATGTAAAATAGTATAGAGTAGCATATAGTATAGTGGGCATATAGATAATTTAAGATTTCGAGGGGGCTGCCTGGTGGTGCAGGAATTAAATCTCAGTGCTATCAGTCTATCACCAGCCACTGAAGCATGAGTTCAATCCCCAGTCAGGAAGCTGACCCACATGGCACAGCAGACCTCTCCTGTCTCACCCACTGCTCCTCTCAGCAGTGTATCTCACTAGATCTGCATGTTCTGCTCCCCACTATGTCTCTGATGAGTCCTCACCTGATGCACCTCTGGCCTATATTCCAGTTCTTTTATGCATAAATAAATAAAAATAAATCTTTTTAAAAATTCTAGGAGCCACATCAAAAGGTAAAAAGAAGATAGAATATAATTTAAAACATGTAATTTATTTTTTAAATAAGTAATATAATAGTTTATTTATTTTTATAAGTTTATTTTTACATCATTTTGTACATTTTTTCCCCATCTCAATTGTAATCCCTGCAGGTTTCCCATCACCATATAATAGTTTATTTTTACATCATTTTGTGTATTTTTCCATCTCAGTTGTGGGCTTCCCATCATCAAATCACCCATGTGCCAACACCATAGTCCAGTGCATTTCCCTCCCTCCACTGTTTTTGATCCCATTCCCCATTTCATCCCCATAAAAATGTCTCTGGTATATAGCTGTTCATTATTATTATTATTTTCTCACCTGGACTGTTATACTCCTGCTATGAGTGAAATCATCTGGTATTTTTCCTTTTCTTTCTGGCTTATTTCATTAAGCATGATCTTTTCCAGCTCCATGTATGTTGCTGCAAAAGGCATGTGTTTATTTTTTTTGGTTGCTGAGTAATATTCCATTGTGTATATGTACCACATCTTTGTAATCCAGTCATCTACTTTTGGGCATTTGGGCTGTTTCCATGTCTTTCCAATTGTAAATAAGGCAGCACTAAACATGGGGGTACAGGTATCTTTTTGAATCAGTGTTTTTGTGTCTTTTGGGTAGATACCAAGGAGTGGGATTGCTAGGTCATAGGGAAGCTCCACATTAAGCAGTTTGAGGAACCTCCAAACAGTTTTCCACAGTGGTTGTACAAGCTTGCATTCCCACCAGCAGTGAAGGACTGTTTCTTTTTCTCCACATCCTTGCCTATATTTGTTGTTGCTAGTTGTTTTAAGATGTGCCATTCTCACTGGAGTGAGGTGGTATCTCATTGTGGTTTTAATTTGCATCTCCCTTATTACAAGTGATGTTGAACATTTTTTCATATGCTTGTTGGCCATCTGCATTTCCTCTTTGGAGAAATGTTTTTTTTAGCTCTTCTGCCCATTTTTTGATGGGGTTGTTTATTTTTGTAAAACATGTAATTTAACCTAGTATGTCCCAAATAATTTTGACAATGATAAAAATTATTTGTGATATATTTTCTATTTTTTTCTTTGTACCATTTTCAAAATACAATGTATATCTTACATCAATAGCTCACTTAATTGCCAGTAGGCACAATAGTAAGTACAGTGGGCACATGTGACTTGTGGCTCCAGAGTAGATTGCGCTGGTTTAGTAAGAATATTTGCTACATAGTTACAAATGGACTTTCATTAATAGAAAATGAATAATTAGTAAAAATATTTTTAAAAGATTTTTCAGTACAAAAACATACTTGTTTTGCCAGTGAAATTCAAATGTCAATACTTGTTTCTAAGGTTGTTGTAAAATGTTATATTTATTTAAGTTTTTCAATAATGCATGTAGCACATTGTATTAGAAAAAGTTTGATGTAGTAGAATCAAGCATGCCTTGAGTAGTAGATTCAGTAAAATTTAAATAGTGTTGTGTTGATCTATTCAAACAAAAATGCTCAAAACAAATGGTGCATACTTTCTTTTGGTTAGATTCTTGAGAGATGGAGTGTTTGCCTTGTTGCAGGCTTAATTATAAAATGGACATTTGAAGCTCATCCTTTGAGAAAGAATTTAAAATTTATTTTAACCAATATTAGTCAGCTTTGTGTGGAATTTCCATTCCTAAATATTATAAATTAAATGTAAGAAGGACACTTGACATGAAACAAATGAGCAGCATCAAATGAAATTTTAACAGGAATATTGATTCTTAATAGTATTTATTGCTTTCCTAGCCAAATCAGATTAACCAACTGAATGAAATTTTCCACATTCAAAAATTCAGACAACACAATGAATCCAAGATAACATAGTTTTTCTTGCCATTGTGTGATTTTGAATTTTTTTCTTTATTAATTTCAGCAGCACAGTCAGCAGTCTCCATTCAAGAGTTGACTCATTAGAAAAATCAAATACTAAGCTGATCGAAGAGGTATTGTTACCCAGCCATGTGTAATTGTCTTTCATGGGCTTAATATTTGTGATCCTTTTCCATTTTAAGTATAAATGCATTAAGAATATACATGCACACATAATGCACATTTTCATTATTAGGATGGAATAATTGTAAATATTTGTAATTGATTATTATTACAAGTTCTAAAGAAACCATGTATTCTTAGGCCAATTCTCAAGTGACTCTGAGATATATTTGAGACACTCAATTTCTAGAAATGAAACTGATACAGATTCTTCTGTAGGTAGGTTGATTCTCATTTTAAAATCCAGGTGATCCTGTATTTAATAGTGTAATCATGTGTTATTAGAAATTCCTGCTTAAATGATGGTGTCTACCCTTTATTCACCCTCCCATTTGCACACTTATCCCATGTGCTCTGGTTTCCTGCATTGTGAAAGTGGCTGTCTGATGGTGCTAGAACCAGAAATTATCCTAACTTTCTTTGTAATATATTTATATATTTGCTTTTTAGGTACGTTTAAAAAAAATCTATCAAATCATAAAATTTTTGCTGCCTATTCAGAATTATTTAGTCAAGTCTGTTTTATTAGTGCTGTGAATCTTATTTTTCATTTTAGTTACTTTATTTTAAAATGGCTTAATTTCAAAAACAGGAAGCACATAATTATTTGTGTGACTACATTTAAGAATGCATCCTCATTTTGATAGTTGAACTTCTGGTTGTTATCATTAGAGAGATCTGCTCACCAGTTTGTGCCTCTTCTTGGCCTTCGGGATACTATGAAGCTCACATTGTACCTTTGAGAAAGTATTCAGAAATGTGCTTGCAAGTCAGCATTAAGGAATGGCCCCTGTTTTCCTTTTCTCAGATCCTTCTTTCATTCTGGGCCATACAACCAAGCCACTTACTCATGTTTATCCCCCATGATGAGAGTTATAATGCATTTATGATGGTCACTCAGTGTGCCTGGATTTCAGGGGATGCCCTAGTCAGTCATCACGAATGTCTGTATAACATTTTCAGTAATAGTGTAACTTTCTTTTCTTATAGATTGTATTTCTTTACACATGTCTTTGCAGTTTCACTGTTTAACTCAGAGTTTACATGCTTAATTTATTTTTAGGACAGATGTCAGTTTCAACTAACATAATATGCTTCAAATATGCTTCAGTATGTTATTTAACAAAGGGAATGGTAGAAATAAGAGTATCAGGGTCCTCCCTGGTGACTCAATGAATTAGGACGCAGCACTGCAAGCTGGCCATAGCCACTTCAGTGTGAGTTCAATACCCAGCCCTGGAGGTGATCCACATGGCGCAGCAGACCTCTCCTGAGCTGCTCCCTTCAGCAGTGTACTTTGTTGAGCTGCCTGTTCTGCTCCCCACTCTGTCTCTGGTGAAGCCTTCCACCGCCCCTGCACCTCTGGCTTGTACCCAGTTCTGTATGAATAAATAAATAAATTTTTAAAAAAATTAAAAAAGACAAAGAAATAGGAATATCATTTCCTTAATTGCTATGTTGATTAAATATGGGACACATTTTTCTTATGAAGTTTCTGTAAATGTGAAAGACAAAATGTTTTTAGGATTTTATTTTTTATTTTAATCATGAGTATAACATATAAAACAAGTATGAAGATGTTTAAAATAGTCTTTCTTGCTCTTGTTTTATGATTTTTAGTTAGCAATAGCAAAGAATAACATCATTAAACTCCAAGAAGAAAATCATCAGTTACGAAGTGAAAATAAATTAATTTTAATGAAAACACAGCAGCAACTAGAGGTAAGGACAGACTGATTCTAGACTGACTTGTGTCAAAAATGCCTCTCAGAGATTTTTATGTAATAGGTATTTCTAATCTGTATTATAGTAGTGATTATTAAATAAAAGTTTTATGTTTTTCTTTTTAGGTTAACAAAGTGGATGTGGAAACCGAGCTTCAAACATATAAGCATTCTCGGCAGGGGCTAGATGAAATGTATAATGAAGCCAGGAGGCAGCTTCGAGATGAATCTCAATTACGACAGGTATTATTATTAGCAAATAATAATAAAAAATGTTATTGTAAATATGTATATGTAAGTATGTTTGTAACCACCACCTAGGTCAAAAGGAGAGTATTGTCAGACTTACTATCCCTTTTGCTGTTGGTCTTTATTGTTAAGGAACTTCTTTTCCTTCTGAAATTAAAACTGGAAAATGGAGTTTTTGTGTTACTTTTAGTCTTCACTTTTACAGATTGCATCATGTCCTTATTATGTAAAGAAAATTAACACTAAATATATAAGGCATCTATATATATAATTGTTGAGACAGTAAAATAGGGATAATTAATATAGAAAATTTTTTCATTTTAGCAAAATGTGCATTTGAAAATATTTAGATTGTTACTTTGTCTTACAGAATCTGGTTGATTGTCTATACAGTTGGACTTGTAACTTGAAAGGAGTAATATACATATTGAATGAAAATTCTTGATTTCAGTAACTGTTGTCTATCTGATTTTGACACCCTAAAGTGAATTGAGATATGTTGAAATTGTAGGATGTGGAGAATGAGCTGGCAGTACAAGTCAGTATGAAACATGAAATTGAACTTGCCATGAAGTTGTTGGAGAAAGATATCCATGAGAAACAGGATACTCTGATAGGCCTTCGACAGCAGTTAGAAGAAGTTAAAGCAATTAATATAGAGATGTATCAAAAGTTACAGGTAAAGAACTTTATTAAATTCCTAAAATTTCTTGTTATACAAGTTGGCAGTGACTATTTGTATTAAGGATTTGTTTTGCAAAAAATAAGACCATTTTAACTGTGCCATATTAGTAGCGAACACTAGTAACTTTTTTCTAAATGGAAAGCTTAAGAAATATAGCAATGAGTAAAGGTATCAAAGAACAAACAAAATCACTGATCTGAATTTGTTTCTTGAGGTTGAAAGGTTATTAGAACCTCTCTTAATATTGCAACATGAACAGAGGAATAAACCTTATAGAAAACTCTCAATCTAAAAATTCAAGACATTTTGTGGGCTCTTTACACAGTAAATCTGATACAGATTTACTTTTGATTGAAATACTTTACTATAAAAATTATTAGGAATTTTCTAATAAATTGACATTGTTGTTGAAGACTTATCATCAAAAAGCACAATTTAATTTTCAAAATAGCATTATTTTATAACAGTTTACTCTGTTATCTTTTAAAAACATCAAAGGCTGTTTTTTTCTCTACTATATTTTAAGTGAAAGCTAGTAATACTGCTGTTTCATATTGTAGGAATATTTTAATCCATTTCAAAATAATTCCACAGCAAAATGGCAGAATGAACTTAAAAATATTCAGATTCCAAAGTAAAACCCACTATAGCTTTTATATTTTTGTAAATAGGGTTCTGAAGATGGTTTGAAAGAAAAAAATGAAATCATTACCCAATTAGAAGAAAAAACCAATAAAATTACTGCAGCCATGAGGCAGCTGGAACAAAGGTACAGCATTTCTAGTTTTGGTTTCTTTTTTTCTTTCCTTCCCCCCCTTTTCTTTACTTAATTCTGACACCTGCCACAAAACCACTAGGAAACTTTAGATTAGGACATGGATCTTCTTAAGCCCAGCAGAATTTTTGCCTTTTTGTTTGGTTGTTGCATGGAATCAAGTTGCTTTATATTAGGCTGATTCATTTGAACTTGCCAATTTGTAGATTTTTTTAAAAAAGGTCTAATAGCAGCAATTTCATGTGGTTCAATCTTTTGCATAAAACAAATACACAAACAGAAACCTTGATAAAATGAATAAAATCCATGGTGGACTTATCCCTATTGATTTCCATGCATATGAATTGTCATATCCTTTATCATTCACCATCTCTTTTTCTGAAATCAAGCTTTATGAGTTGGCAGTTGTGTTTCTTTGATCTAGGACCCTCAACCCAAACCAAGAAATAATTTTGTTTAAATTGAATTGTTTTATATTGGCATTTTTCACTTTTATTGTTGGAAAATGTAATGTATTTCCATTGACCTGTCATGTTGGTGTCAACATATGTCTTATCATTGCTTTCTTTGAATCTACTTATGAAAAACATAACTATTAATGCTTTATTGACATGAATATTCTTTTATTGACATCCTCTTTCTTCTTTTTTCTTTTTTGTTTTGTTTATCCCCATTTTTACATTTTGGACATCTTTATTATCTTTTTCTGTCTTTGATTTCTGTCCATTCCATTATGAAGTGATAATGATTTGTTAACTCAAACTAGGACAATTGCAATGTCATTGGTCAAATGTGCCAGCAGTGACACTCAGGACCAGTATAAGCTGGTCAAAGATATATCTTTCTGAAAAACACTTCTATTTAAACAGACTAAAAGAGAATAAAAATTTATGTAATATATTAAATAGAAAAGAATTTATGCTACTACTATGTATTCTAAAAGGGTATCAGTTAGCCTGTACACTTGATCAGCTGCTGTGGTACCACACTACCATAGAGCAGAGCCGGTGCACTTGGATTTCAAAAAAACACATTCTGCAAACCTTGTGCACAAGGGTGATTTGAATATTGACCCTCTGAAGGTCAGGATTTTCAAATTCAGTTTTAACTTTTTAAAGCTACTTTTTTGATGGAAAATATGACAATTGTGTAAAAATAAGTTAACCTTTGATTTGACAATGTGTTGGCACAGATTCCTGGCCTCTCCCACCCCGACACCTCTTTTGGCCCTCTCTTTTCGCTGCCTAATGCTCCTTAACTCTTTTGTGTATGTTTTAAAATAGTTTATCACCCAAATTGGCCAGCCGTTCTCTTGTGCTTTTGCACTTCAGTTTTCCAGTTCTCCTTTGCCCTTTGCTGTGATAGCACAACTCCACGGCCTACCTCACTCTTTTATTTTAATTTCTGTAGACTCAGAGAAGAGCTTGGGGCCCTGTCCTCTTCTAATATTTTAAATTTAAATTTAGATTTAGAGAACACTTGGATGTTTTTCTCTTTCCTTCAAAGTGGCATTTATACTTTGAAATATGTGAGAGTTGGCCCACTGGTATGATTTTAAGGAAGAAAAGAGGTACTATTTTTTGTTGTTAGCTGAATAGAAATGCCCCTTTTGATTCCTTACAAGGAGTTAACATTCCTTGCATACTAGGGAAATGTTTTATAAAAACTTTGAAGTTAAATCTAAGAAATTCTAGATGGCCATAGGAGGCAGGGACTGGAGCTAAGCACAGGGAGAAGCAATGACTTACAAATAAAAACAGGAAAAAGATGAAAATCACATTTTTAACTAATTTTTCAATTCAATGATAAGGAACAAAAGTGATGTCTAGTAAATGTTGCCAACAAGCATTAAATTCTTTTGAATCTTAAAAAATACAAACACGTACACACACATGCAAATATAGCTTTGGCATAGTTTAATAAACATCTAAAGATCTGGTAGGGAGGACTTGGCTGTTATTTGATGTAATTGCAGGTCTTTGTTCTTGGCCTTGTAGCACACTTGATTCCTGGCATAAATATCCTGGCATAATCTAAACAATGTGGCTTCTTCACCTAGTGTAGATATAACAACTATGCTTTTCATGGTTTTGTAAAAAGTCAGTAATGCACCTACTATATTTTGAAAGTTAACTCATTATGCTCTACATAAGTGGGAAAGGCTGTATTGCTTTGCACTATTAATTATGAACAAGAAATAAAACAAATTTGAAGATAATATTCTGGGCATATTATGTTATATTGAAAAAAAAAACACAAAACAGTTTCTAGACATTGTGTGGCTCTTTCACGTTTGAGTTTGTGAGTTTTCCCAAACTTTGTTTTCATTTAGAAATGTTTCTATTTCCCCATTTTTCTTTTATTTGTCTTCTTCACCCTTTTACACCCTAGTTCTAGCCTCAGTTTTACCCAAAGTTGATTTGAATTACACCAGATTGCAGCAAGCAGAGAAGGCGCAAATGGAAGCTGAAGAAGAGGACAAGAAATACATGCAAGAATGTCAGAGTAAATCCAGCAACCTGCAGAAGCAAATCTCCCAAAAGGAGAAACAACTGTGAGTATTTCACTCTTAGAACAAATTCTTGTGTTAACATAATTCCCACGTCGCTCTTTTTTTGTACATAATGGTAGAATACCTTTACTTTCTGCTAGATTGTAGAGAACTCCTTAAATAATAAAAAAATTAGAAGATATAATTACAATAAAACATTTTTACTCCTTTTATTGTTTAAAAGCACTTTTATTTATTCATTTATTTATTTATTTTTTAGACATATAGACAGTTAGCTTTTTTTTTTTTTAAGATTTATTCATACATAACTGGGGTACAGCCCAGAGATGTGGAGGGTGAGAGGATTCACCAGGAGCAAATGGGGGAGCAGAACAGGCAGAAGGACGAAGTACACTGCTGAGGGGAGCAGCGGGCGAGGCAGACCTCTCCTGACCCCCATGTGGATCTTCTCCGGGGCAGGCTGGAATCCAACTCATGTGGAATTGGCTTAAGCTTCTCAGTGCTGTGCTTTAACCCGCTGCGCCACCAGGGAGGGCCCTATTCGTTTATTTATTTTTATTTTTTATTTAGTTTTTTTTTTAAAGATTTATTTATTTGTACATATAGAACTGGGGTACAGGCCAGAAGCTCAGGGGCGGTGAGAGGCTTCACCAGAGACAGAGTGGGGA